ACATTCCTAAGGCATCAATTCTTTGCCTGTCAACGACTTTCATAGTCCACGTCTTTGCACTATACAGAATCGGATAGCTAGATAGATAGAAATATAGAGAAGGCAAGCGTTCGTATCAGATGCATTTTTGTTCCATTAATAATTTTCCTATCTCTCCAAATTTTATTCAGTGGGGTTATTGCTATTTTGGCCATGTAAATTCTCCTACGGATTTGCATACATTTTATTGGCATACTATTCACATACATAGATATGACTGGGACATTAAGTGGCAAAAGCGACAGAAAAGAAATACGCGTCAGTAATGATTGATTACGTTATCAAGTATGTCCTTTAAGAGCATACTCTATCCCTCGATGCCAGTTGTACTATTAAAGCGTTGAGAAAAGCTGTTTCTCTTTTCGGTGTTCTCAAGCGAATTGTTATATCGGGGAAGGGGCTTTGTAAGCGCGGACTTTAGAGAATTGAGTAAAACACCTCGTATAGAACTTTACTTTATAACAACAGGGGCAAATAAAGTCAACGGTCAAGTAGAAAGGGTCATGCAGATTTTAAAATGTCTGCTAACTATTATAGAAAACGATACCCATAAAACGTGGCGTGACAAACTTCCTGAGGTACAAGGGACGAAACCGCTTAGCATTCAATGGATTCACCGTGCGGGTGCCGGGTCCATCGCGTTGCAGGGAGGGGAGCTTCAGCAGTGCCTGGGACTTGCGACCCAGGTGTGGGTTTAAGGGGCCCCTTAACTAACGCGCGTTGTACGCTCACCTCCACTGTCCAAGTTCCTCTCCCTACCTGGCCAAATTTGAAAACTACTACTAATTGAACCTACTAGGGCTGAATTCGACGTACGTTCCAAGAATGAATTAATGTTGGTTCTGGACGGGCCCAAGTCTTTTGGTAGGTTGTAGAGAGATTTGGCTGTTATACCTCTCGCTCCCACCTTTACCGCGTACGAATCGGCGACGAACCTATTTCGAGTTAGTTCGTTAGTGAGCTCGTAATACTTAGTGACAACGCGCTTTGAAATACGCGAATATAGAAATGTGTCTGGTCTGGAGGCTGAACCACAAGTATCCTCGGGGATTTTGTGTTGTTTCTCACACGTATCCATCATGATAGTCTAATCCGAAGCCGCTTTAAGGATAGAGTAGGGCTTGACGTTTGATTTTGTAGCCCTGGTGCTCTCTCTCACAAAACCTATTGATCGTTCGTTTGTGGTTGTTTCCCTTTGCGCTCTGGCTACCGAAGGACTGGCCGCTTCACGTATGATCTCTAAAACCCTATAGTGACGACGCGAGAGTTGACCGCTGTCCAGGAGAACCTTACATCTCACTAGCGAATGCTTAGCAGTTCCAACTGCCTTTCCGCAGATATAGCAAGTGTTTTCGGTACCTTTACCCCATCTTACTGAATTGCTCTGGTCTGGGAGAGTCCTCTAGCACTTAATAACACAAGCCGTAGGGTTACAGGATATACTCCAACAGAACTAATGTTTGGCATACGCGCGCAATCTTTAGGGATATCATTAATAGCCCAAAATTCAGACGAGCCGAGATTAGATTTAGACAATATCCGGAATAAAACTTCCCTCAACACTGAAAACGCAGATCAAAAGGAAGTAGTTAAATTTAATAAAGGCAAAGCCCAAGTAAAACCTTCTTTTCTTTCTCGGGGAGATTACGTTTTTGTTAAGTGTAGCGAGTGTTACCAAACTAAACTACAAAGAAAGTTTAGGGGACCTTTTATCATAATTAAAATTCTAGACAACGATAGGTACGAACTGAAACATACCGATGAATCTAATTGCACTTTAAAATACTCTCATGAAAACTTGAGCGCAGTACCCAGAGGCTTTGAAGGGTTAGTTGACATATCCACTGAACTAAGTAATGAGGAGGCCGAGACGGCGGGTCATGGAGTGGAGAGAATGGAAACGAAGCTATGTCAGATGATGAAAGTGAGTAGCTGAGTAGCTCTGATGGCCTCCAACATTGATAAACCATAAATGAGTTGTGTAAGTTTGAGTTGGTGTGTTTGAGGTGGCGATGAAACTGGCTGATGCGGCCGATGTTTCTAGTAGTGATGGATCAAAGCGTGCAGGGGCTGGCTCGATGGAGTCCACGTCCGGTCGACGCTTGATCAGGTTGTGAAGATGGACGGGCTAGCTCGGTGGAGTCTATGTCCGGGTCATCGTTCACTCACATGAGTTTGGCTAGTGGAGATGGACGGGCTAGCTCGGTGGAGTCTATGTCCGGGTCATCGTTCACTCACATGAGTATAAGTAGTGGAGATGATGGGGCTAGCTCATTGGAGTCTACGTCTCGATCATTGTTCACTGATATGTGTGTGATGATGCTCTGCAGATTGGTCAGACGAAAGTTGTCGTCCGGGTCAGATCCATTTACGTTGGCTGACTTGTCCTGGAACCTCTGCAGATTGTGGTAAGACGAAAATTGTCGTCCGAGTCAGAGCCATTTACGTTGGCTGGCTTGTCCTGGTTGCTCTGCAGATTGTGGTAAGACGAATAGTGTCGTCCGGGTCAGATCCATTTACGTTGGCTGACTTGTCTTGGAACCCCTGCAGATTGTGGTAAGACGAAAATTGTCGTCCGAGTCAGAGCCATTTACGTTGGCTGGCTTGTCCTGGTTGCTCTGCAGATTGTGGTAAGACGAATAGTGTCGTCCGGGTCAGATCCATTTACGTTGGCTGACTTGTCTTGGAACCCCTGCAGATTGTGGTAAGACGAATATTGTCGTCCGAGTCAGAGCCATTTACGTTGGCTGACTTGTCCTGGATGCTCTGCAGACTGTAGTAAGACGAATGGTGTCGTCTGGTTCAGATCCATTTACGTTGGCTGACTTGTTCTGGATGCTCTGCAGACGGTAGTAAGACGAATGTTGTCGTCCGGTTCAGATCCATTTACGTTGGCTGACTTGTTCTGAATATTTCGAGTATCGTGGTAAGACGAATGTTGTCGTCCGGGTCACATCCACCAAAGGACCGACCTGTCCAATAGTACCTACTAATTGTGAACAGTTAACCTACATGCTGTTAAGTGACAAGGCGTTGTCGTCCGGCTTAATTGCTACGAGATGCTCGCCTTAAGTCTTAAGTACCATAGCACATTTTGATGATTGTAACTAGTCGTTTGTCAGGATGCCGAACGGAATAGACACAACTGTAGTTCATTGATCCGAGAACCGCCCGAGGACGGTCGAATGTCAGTCCGGCCGTGACGGCGCATCCGTCAAAAATCATACGTCAGGTTGACTTTTAGCTGTCTGAGGTTAGCCTAGTGAAGCGTCATTGTGATGGTAGCGAGGGCGGCCATCTTAGTGTGGTTCGGGATGACGCCCGCGCACCGCGCTCGTGACGAATCGCTGTGTATCGAAGTGATAGTGATATCTAGTGTTTCGATTGAGTTGGTGTCGTATTGAATAGACTGTACTTTATCCCTTTCAAAGTATGAGTTCCCATGAAGGCCCTCCTGTTCTTATAACGCCCTCCTACATGCTAATACTGATATTGTCAATAATTGTTAAGAAAAATCAAAATAAATAAATATACAAAGGTGTACATTAATATATTGTGATATGTCTCCAACAAATTGTCAGTGGTGTCGTAGTGGTTAAAAGGTCCGCCTCTCATGCATGAGGGCGCAGATTCGATCCTGGCCCTGGCAAGTACCAATGTGATTATTCCGAGTTATATGTACTTTCTAAGAATATATAGACATGACTGATTAATGCTGATTCCCAAAAAGGGTTGATGTCAGGCAGGCGGCCGGTCGTAAAAACAATTAGTCAAAACTATTCACAACATGTAAGGCAGACCCTGGCTATAGCTGGGAAATTGCCAGGTAGAAGAAGATATGTCTCTAACAATAACAATATTTTAATTAGTGGAAAATTCTTTTCACTGTATATTTGCAGTTCAATGCCTGTCCTTAATAAAAAAGATATATAAATACATTTAATAAGTAGTTTATTATATTGGAGTCAGGGTTGTCGTTGCAATTATAAAGAAATATATTTGTAACACAATGATGATATCTCACTTCCTGTGTAAATACACGGCGAATAAAACACATGCGATTACAATAATATTTTAACATGAATATTCAACATATTAATTCATTATATGTTATCTGTACTGGTTTTGTTACACTCCTTTTAGATTCAGGATTGATTTGTTATTGTGTAAAACACGTGCGTAAACAAAATATATAACTTTGGAAGAATTTAATATGAAAAAAGTCGTGACTTCAATGACTGTCACGATTTTTATTTGTAAACACCATAAATCGTGGCCTCACTAGTGATTATTATATTGATATAAGATCTCAACATGCTATTCGTTAAACTCTCTATTTCGAAATACATATTAAAACCTAAATATTATTTTGGTAAATCTGTGTAACATATATTCTTTTATATTTATTAATACAATATATAGTTTCTAACCATTTTTAAACCATTTCTGTCACATCAAAGTCTCACAAGTCACAAACGTCAGAACCTGTTTTGACAATCCTCGTAGACCTGAACCCGTACTAGTGCGTCGAGCTGAACGCCGATGTTAAATCTTAATTACATTTGTTTTATATGTTTTAATGATTCTAATAAGAAAGTAACACCTTCAATTACAGCGGACTTGTTAACAAGAACGCGCTTTCTAGTAACAGTGATGTGAACAAATAAAGTGGACGCCAGGTCGGGAAATATTTATATAAATATATTATTACTAATTTATATTAATAAAGGTACGCCCATTTTTGTACAAAAATAATTATAATAATCTTAATCAAGTGGATATTTGATATTTAAGTATATATATCTGTTAAAAGCAATATTTATGGACAAATTAATAATTATAAGTTTATTAAACTGTAGCATGATGAAATGTCAGTGCTATAGTAACGATCCCATATGAAAGTAATATTAATATTTATTTAATTCTCATCCATTTCATTTCTCTCCAGCCTGTGTTTATTCATGATGGAAGGCGACACTTCTCGTCTAAGGTTGTCCGCTTCCAACTGGTCTCTGGCCGGAGACTCACAGTTACTGGACATCTTACAGAGCTTGCATCAGGTTAATATATAATATATTATTATACTGCTACTTAAAAGATTTCATTAATTATAAGTTTTGGAAATCAATCTTTTGTAAATCTAGAACAGTTCAGCCATTAACGGTAATGAAATATAGTGTTCTTAGAATTATTAACGAAAGCATCGGAAAAAACTGTTTGTAACTGTATGTAGGACTTGAGAAATGAGTAGTAACTCTTTATTAATTTTAATTAATTCATTTTATGTTGTATATATATATATATATTATTAAGGTTAAACATCTACACTGACATAATTACTAAACAAATTCCATAATTTTCTAATTTATTAAATCTATATTACATTGAAGTTAAAAATTAAACATTATATAAGAAGATTAAAAATAATATTCATAGTACATTAATACTGAGTTTCTTAACAACACACTCTATAATAAAGTGTTTTTATTTTCAGACGATCATAACAAGATGTAAGGAGACCAATGACCAGTTGGAGAATATGATGAGGTCCTTGGACGAGGCCAGCATACACTTACAGAATGTTAATAATAAGTTAGTACAACAATCTTATATTAACCTAGTCTTGATATGGACATAGTAGGGTGGATTCACTAGTATCTCATAGATATAAGTTATTTTATCTTAAACATATTTGTTTATTTGTCATTTATAAAACTTTGTAATCTAGGTAAAGTTAATATTACTAAATATTTATGATAGATGTATATTAATAGTTAGTATATTATATTCAATAGTAACAATGATCTCTAAATATATCCTCGTCTCTGTCAATCAGACAAAACTTGTAATTATATAAGATTTCACTCATTTAAGCTGGCATTGAGTTAAAATATATAACATAGATTGTAATAAAAACGTTATAATATTTCATTATGGTAAATATAGAAAAAAACAAAAATCCTTTACATATATCTATATAGAATTATGTTCTTTTGACAATTTTTCAATCATCCAATGATATATATAAATCCTTTGAGAAAAGATCAATAGATAAAAAAATAAGTGTATATTTTCGTGAATCTACTGAGAGAACTTCTTATATGTATCATTTCTCGTATAGATTCCTGGGTCTCAGTAACAGTCAGTTCGTTGAGAGCCGCGTGTATGACGACCACACGGAGATCGGTGAGGATAATAATAATAAGGTAAATATGTTAAAAATACGATACTATAATTATTATGATTCAGAAAGAGGGTTGATGTCAGGCAGGCAGCCGGTCATAAAAACAATTAACCAAAAAAACTCACAACATGTAAGGCAAACCCTGGCTATAGCTGGGAAATTGCCAAGCAAAAGAATTATTATCATGATAGTAAAATATAAAAAATTATAACTTCACAATTTCCGTTGGTTTGTCAAACTGTCAATTTTTCATTCTCTTTACATGAGTTGTTTTGGCGCCAATTTCAAAAACTCATCCGGAAATCAAACAACAGTAATACAAATATATTCGTATAGAAAATATTATAATATTTCTATTCCTCGCTATTTGGTCTCTATACACCCCCTCTCCCTCCCTGCAGGTCCCTCCTCCCCGCGCGCCCCTCAGTCCCGTGTCGTCCCTCAAGCTGTGTGTCCGCACGCTGGAGAGTCTGCACGAGGCTGTGCCAGTCGTGGACTCGGACAGTGATGAAGAGGGCAGGTACACACATATGTACATACATATATATAGAGGATTATAACAGAATCATTAACAAATATAGTTGTCTTATAAAGAAAGTACTTTTAAATAATAAATAACAAATCAAACCTTAACTAGAACAAACTAATTATTATCTTAAAATAAAACACATCAAATAAGTTTAATTCAATTTACAAAGATACATTACTTTCCCGCGTAAAAGTGAACAGAGCAAATGTCATCGCTTTAACGTCACTTCGGGTGCGTTCGGGAATATAAAGGTTCTGTTCAAATTTAATTTTAGTTCTCTAAATAAATCTATGTATATTCTGTATGTATGGGTAACTATTAATATATGTAATTCTCCAGCGCCCGCGTCATCCTCCGGCCTCTGTATCGTCGCGGTCGAGACACTCATGAAGGTAAACACTTTACATATAAAAACGTATCATTAATACATGTGACGTCATAATGAATGTTTGTTTACTAAGTTTATCTTGTCTCGTTGTCCCGCCAGGTGTGTCATCAGACGCGGACAGTGAGCCGTCCTCTCAGCTCGAGCCGGAGTATTCTGATTCGGACAGTGAACATGAACAGACGGACGTACACGAGCATACTGTCAGTAATAACGTGTGTAGTAAAGTGATATAGTCTGTAGACTCGTTTCTCTGTATGTTAATGACATTTGTTTCTTGTACTACTCAACAGATGCCGCCGCAGGCTCCAGTGTTAGTGATGCCACACACGCCGCCCGATACGAAGATCACGGAGGTATACACACACACACACACACACATACACACACATACACACACATACACAAACATATATCTCGATACCTCCCATGTAAGTTGTTGTATCTCCAAAACTGTAATTTTACAGTAGAGCGTTTCAAAGATTCAAATTACACCAAAATCTGCATTAATTGATGCATCATTTTAAAATTTCGTAATTAAATTTAACATAATAGTATTCTTAACTACGTTAAAAGATATTTTAAGTGATTTTACCCACATCGCGCCCCGTGTAAACAGTTGTATAGGCATATACATCAGTTTAATCTGTTTGCGTTTGAAGATTATAACATTATGCATCTGACAAATCCTTTAAAAATAGTATTTTTGTTGTTTTTTTTTTTTAATTTGAATGGATGTAAAGATCAATAAAAGGATATTTTTAATAAAAAAAGCAAAATAGCATTTTTATGGCATACAACTTACTTGGAAGGTATCGATATTCTCAGATTTTGATGTGTATATCATGGTCTAAGAGTGTGTATTTGTAACACATATATATATATTATATATATCAACATATATTATATATACATGTGTTAATAATGTTGTAACGTATACTTCCAGCCGGTCATCTCTCCACCGTTGGACGAGTCTCCTACAGTAAGGAAGTTGTACACAGACAGACCCGTTACAGGTGACTAGTATATGAAATATTTATGTGACAATCAATAATAATTTATAGAAAATAATATTATGCCAAAAAATATGTTTGTAATACAATCTACTGCTTAATCGATTATAGTGAAACTTACTTTAAAAGTAGGCAGGACTGCAGAGAAAAATATTTATACATGTATATGAATACAGCTACATATAATCTATTGTCGTATGTTTCAGCTCAAATCTTCCCCGAGGAGCCTCCGCCTCTTGACCGATACGACTCCGATACTGAAGATGACATCTTCGCTGACCTACACACACATACACACACTCACACACACACAGAGAACATCGTTGATGACCTGTTCGGAGTGGGGGGAAAGGGGGCGGGGCTTGATAAATCTGACGTCACACAACACACGCCGGTGAGTGTGTACCAAGCTTTTGTGTTTCTGATATAAATATTATAGAGATAAGAGATTAATTAATAATAATTGAACATTTCAGGTGACACAGGTCGTGAGAGAGAAGTCGCCGGTAACAACTAGTGTGGAGCCAGAAGTAAAACAGACGCCGGTACAAGAATATAATACGAAGGAAAATGTTAAAGTAAGTCACTACAGTCACGTGGTATAACTTATATCCTTTAAACTAAACTAATATAATAAATAATTATTGTCATTTGTTTTGCATATAATATTTGTCAAAATACTACGAGTTTGCGTTCCAATACAAGAGAACAGACTGACTATTAAAAGGGATGTGTTAAAATACTGAAAAGAAAATTTTCTTGCACTAGATAGCATCACTAGTTATAAAATATTGTTATTTTTGATACACAATTAATATATTTCTATGTATATTATTCCAGAAGCCCGCGGGTGGTATATCAATGTTCGGTGAGGCGCGCCCCGAGGATATAGGAGCGGCTGTGTTGAGAAAAACGAGGAGACAATCATCAACAGACAGTGACGATACTAACATACAGACAAACAGAAACAATGTTATCGACGAACTGTTTACAAAACATAATAAAAATATCAAAAAAACACCCGTCGTCGTTAAGAAAGAACCGAAAATTGATAAAGTTATAGCTGAGAGTAGCGCTAAAGATAAAAAAGATAAAATAGATCTGTTCTCTGATGATATCTTTGATGATGTAGATGATATCTTTACGAGTAACGTGATGAACACGACTACAGACAGCAAGAAGACGTTGTTTACTGATGATCTGTTCAATGATAGCAATGATAATGATATATTTAATGACACAAGCAAATCTGTTAAGATAGATACCAACGTTAATAAAGATAAAAAAGTTAGAAACATATTCGATAGTGACAGTGAAGACGACTTGTTCTTTGATGCTAAAGGAAAAGATAAAGATATAGATACAAAAGATAGCGGCAAAGATAAACATTATAAATCAAATGAGAGCTTGATAGTCAAAAACAGTAAAGAAGAAAGTCAGGCTGAACTGAAAGACCAGTTAAGTCCGAATTTATTTGATGATGATGATGACTTGTTTAGTGTCACGCAACCCGAGATAGTGAGAAGTGAACACAGAGATGAAACAAAAGATGATCAGAGACTAGAGAAGAATGAGACAGAAAATAAGAAAGAAGTTGAAATAAAAGAGACTCAGGATGAAGACTGGTTGGAAGAAAAACATGTTGATGATGCAAACATACGCGATATAGAAGAAAACATAGTGCATAACGAATTTAACAACGATTTTGATAATTCTGTTTCATTAGATGAAGATTCAGCGAAATCTACTGACAGAGAAAATAATGATGAGAAATTAAAAAGTAATTATAGTCTGATAAAGACAGAAAGTGACTTTATAAAAGAAACAAAAGATAATAAAAGTGAAAAGGAAAGAATAGAAGATGTAAAAGATACGAATAAGAATGATATATTCGTAGACATCTTCAGCGATCTGCCTCCAGCCTTCGAGAAGCCGATTGAACCGAAGAAGAGTAAGAACGTGAACGCTCTGTTCGACGACGACTCTGATGATGAGGCGCTGTTCTTCAAGAAGGATGACGTCATCACCGACATGAAACCGGAAATAGACTTCGGCAACGACAGGTTCAGGATATTCAACGACGAACCACCGGATATTGATGTGGATTTTACCACCAAGACTGATAGAGAAGAACACACGACTGATGTGGCTGATGACTTAGAAGCTTCGGCGGATTTTGAGTCTGTCTCTAATGAAGAAACTAATACGGGGTCAGAAAAACCGATTGAATTTAAAGATACGAAAAATGACGGTGTTAATGATAACATAGATAATGTAACAAAAAACACTAACAAAATAAACATACTGAAATTACTAGAGAATGAGGAAAATACTGATGGAGGAAATGAAAATAAAGATTTATTTACAGACGTAGAAAAAGATGATGCGCTCTTTACGACTAAAACAGAAACAAAAGAAGTTAAGACAGAAGAAGAAACAGATTCGTCGGAAAGAGAGAATAGAGTTATAGGAAAGTTGAAGACGAAACTCAATATAAACGTTAATACATTATTACCGGGAGCTGCTCCCAAGAAACCTTTGAACTATGAAGAGACAGACGGACAGGTGACGTCCAGAACTAAACAAGACTCTTCTGTTGACGAACAGAAAGAAAGAGTAGTCAGCTTCAAAGAAGAAACGAACTCAGGAGTATTAGATAACAAGTTATCCAAAGAAAGAGCTCGGATACAGGTCAAGAGACGACCCTCGACCAGGCGAGCCAGACTTGAAGCTGTGAGGAAGACCGGTCTAGACTTAGGGTCAGACTCAACAGATAACTCGAGCTCGTTTGATGAACCGGTCAGAGATATAACTAGAGACAACGCTACTTATAAAGAAACTACGACAGGGACTAAACAAACAGACAACAAAGACGTTGTCTCTAAAGTTGTTTATGTTCTGAACGATGAGGATATATTCGATATACCTAAAACAGAAACAGATGTTAGAAGGCCTCAGGAGGAGGATCTGAAGAAAACAATTAAAACTACAGAGAACAGAGATCAAGAAATAAAAGGAGAGGAAAGGCAAGAACAGAAGACAGAAGGAAAGAAAACAAAGAAATCATTGTTTGATGACAGCGATGATGATACGGAACTGTTTGGAAAACAAACAAAGAAATATATCTTCGACTCGGACAGTGACAGCGAACTGTTCGGAAAAGATAAAGGAAAGATAGTGAAAGATATGAAAACTGAGGAAAAAGATAAAGAAAAAAAAGTTGAGAAGAAACCGACGAAAATACATCTGTTCAGTGACGACAGTGATGAAGATTTGTTCGGAGGAAAAACAAAGAAAATAGGTGAGGAAAATATATTAAGTGAATGTCTAACAAAATAAACTTAATTATCTTTAAGTGTAATAATATAATTTATATATTTATTATGTTGTAGAAGTAAAGAAACCATCACAACCCAGAGCAGCTCCGAGAACATTACAAGCATTCGATGATCCACTGTCAGTGTTAGAAGACGGACACTCACATGAATTAGACTAATATATATATTAAAATGATTACTTATTATTATTGTTGAGATGAAACAAACATTCCATAGAATATATAATATAATAGTACATAAAGAATTAATAATATATATTGTTAACATATTATAAATGAAAAATATCGTGTAAAGTATCCTTGTTATTAGTTATCTTTCACAGTTAAATGTAAAAGTTAATTTGTTAGTTAGTTTAATTTGTAATGTTATGTATTTAATATGAAGTTGATTCAATAAATATTATGAAAGGTTTATTTCTTTTTCCTGCTCCTTAATACAAGATAAATGAAAATTATATTTTCATCTATGGTATATTTTTAAGACACTTATATTATCTTGGGCTGTATGTATGTATGTAACAGAATCCTAGAGCACGATTTTCACCGGTTCCTAAACATCTGATTAATTTGAAACTTTGCATATATCTCAAGGACCAATGACAATACAATAATTCGTTTATGGGGAATGTTAATGTCCGTTGCCTTCGTTTAATAAAAGTCCACGACACTATTTAAAATGTAATTGTATTGTAATAATGCACACAGAAGACAGTTACAAGACTGACACTGAAAGGTTAAAGTTCATACAGTTCGGAAGGAGGAAAACTAACAATCTTCTTCTTCTATCTTCTATATATATAAAAATGGATTGCTGTTCCTTAGTCTCTCTAAAACTCGAGAACGGCTGAACGGATTTATCTTATCTTAGTCTTGAAATATTTGTGTAGATTAAGGGAAGGTATAAAAGCTGAAAAAAATTGTTTCATTACTGGGAAAACCATAAAAACAGCCCTTTTCTATTTCCCATACAAACGTTTTATTTGACATTTGACGTTTCATTTTGACACTTTTCAAGTAACACTAAAATCATTGAAAATAGAATGTGATAGGTATACTTGTTATGACAGAGTGTCATTTATCAAATGATAAACCCATACCTACTCTTAATAGCAATTATAACTCGTATTTTAGCAAAAAATATTTTAAATCGCTGTGACGGAGTAATCATGTATGTAAATAAGAATCTTAATTGTAACGTATCGGAACCTTGTATAAAAAAATCTTCTTGCCTAGTGCTAACGATTCCGGACACGGTGATAATAGGTATATATCGTACACCTTCTATAAGAAATACGGTTGACTTTATTTCTTCACTTCAAACTTTACTTCAGCGATTTGATAATTTCAAGAACATTATTCTAACTGGCGATATCAATATAGACATTAAACATGATAGTATAGACCCAAGCTGCCCTAATTATTTAAATACACTTGCGTTTCACGGAATTTTACCAGCTCATAGGATAGTTACCTACTCGCGACAAAATGTGTTATGATCATATGATGCTCAAACTACTAAAACTGCAAAGTCAATTGTACTTAATAACGCTCCTACTGATCATTCAACGGTTCTTTTAAATCTAACATACAAGCATAACCGAGTTTTATTTATAACAAAAGTTATTACTGATCACGTTTCAGCTTTTAACGATATAAAAAATAACCTTGTGGATATATTGACTACTGAGGATCCGACAATCGCTACCGAAACGTTGATAATTAGAATAACGGTAGCATTTAATAGTAACAAAAAAACAATTACGATACCTAACAGAAAACGTCACTTACAGCCTTGGATCACGCCTGGTGTTTTACCTTGCCTTAGGAATAGTGATAAACTCCATTTAAAACTTAAAAGGAATTCTGATAGTTAATCAGATATTAAAAATAACTTACATTCGGTATAGAAATTTTTGTCATAAACTCGTAAGAAAACTAAAAACTAGCTATGAAAAAAATAAACTAGATAGCGCTCAAAATTCTAAAACAGTTTGGAAAGCTATTAAACCAGTATGTTATATTAGTAAAAATAGAACTGAACATACACACAAACTTATCAATCTTTCGACGTCCCCTGTACTATCTGCTAACCTTGTCAATGAACATTTTTCTAATATGGGTAGGAATTTGGCTGAAAAACTTAAAGACTCACCCCCCTCCTCATCACACCGTAATTTGGCAGAAACATTCACCCATATAAACTGTTGATAGAATATATAATGTAGACTACATACTTTGGCAGAACCTGGCTAATGCTGGGAAATTGGCAGGAAGAAGACACTACGTACTGTTCGACAGCTTGTGTTAGTTCCGTCATGTTTAATGTCTGAATGCGTGTGAACATCTTATTATATTATTTATTATATATTTGCAGTAATTGCTTCTGGATTGATCTTAGTCCACACGGAGGATGTATGTGGATCCGTATCCAATTGAATCTAAGAATTACAAAAATCTATCTTGTTGTGATCATGGTTGCAAAAAACTAACCGAAGCTTCGGTATGTAGTTAAAAATAAGTATGTAATTAAAAATAATCATAAACGCGTAGTAATTCGAGAAATATTAATGTCATTTAAATGAATCTAATTCTTATCTCTTTAGGTTAGTTTTCATGAACCACCACTTTTACTAACTACTATTTTTTCAAATTTTTCTGAACCGTTCTTCATATCAGAAAAAGTCTTATAATAAAACGCTATAGTATGTTAAACTTAATTTTATTTTACAAACAACATTATTCTAACACAGGACCACTCATTTCAACATTATCTTCTCTCCCAAGTCTAGACTTGGAGTCTCCGTCTGAGTCTCACTTGATCTTCATCTTGTATTTCTTAAAGAACGGGTTGATGGGTGAGGGTGTGGAGGGCTTCAAGTTAGTCTTAGCTGGTCGTCTGTTTCCGTCGTAGGGTATGTCGGGGCTCCTCTCAACACTCTTATAATACTCCACGGGTAGCTGCATACTATTCTTTTTCAACACAAACTTCACTCTCTTGGGCGTCTCCAATCTCACTTTTTTGGGACTCTCCTTCTTAGCCTGAGTCGCTTTTTGATAGTTCTTCATCTTACTCGGTGTAACTCTCTCACTCTCCTCATTTCTCTTATTTTCTTTATTTATCTTTTCGTTCTTATCATCACTCGCTATACTCTGAACCATTACTTTGTTTTGTATTCCATCTTTTTGTGTTTTTGTTTTATTTTCTTTATTTATTTTTTTACTATTATTACTATTCACCGCCTTACTTCCGTCACTTACACTGACTTTTCTTTCATTATCTTTTTTCGTCTTAATCTTTGTTTTATCTCGTTTCTTTTTCTTAACTTCTAAGCTTCTATTCTCCTTATCGCTACCTCTGCTCGTCTCTGTGACGTCATCTCCGGTCACTCTCTGTTTCTTGTTTCCTTCTTCTCGGTCGTTCTTCATCTTTCTCTTTCTATTCTTCTTCTTCGTGTTTTCTTTGTCCTCGTCCTTGTTATCTTCTGTATCTCCTGTCTCCTCTACCAGCCACTCTCCTTCCTGTAAGTACATTAATCATTATTCCTCCTCTCCCCACCACTCCTCACTCCTCTCTTCATCCATCGCTCACCCTGTTCTCTGACGTCACATCCTCCACTATACTCAGACCAGCTCGCGCCTTCGCCAGTAACTTCTTCCGTTGTTTCTTACTCATGGCTGTAAACAAAAGATAATATTATATAATAATGTTTTTACAATCAAATGACACTTGTGTTGAAATAAAATTAGAATATTATATCAATAATTATGACAAGAGCGGGACTCGAACCTGCAGCAATGACTTTCATTGTAGTAAGACTACTATATATTTCTGTGAAACTTCTTTCTATAGTAATGTTAAATATATACATACTAGCTTTTCGCCCGCAGCTTCGCCCGCGTGGAGTTCGGTTATATCGCGTTTCCAAGAAAACCTTTCAAAAATCTCGGATAAAAACTATCGTATGTTCTTTCTCAAGGTCAACTCTGTCTCTGTACCAAATTTCATTAAAATCAGTTCAGTAGTTTAGGCGTGGAAGCGTAACAAACAGACAGAGTTACTTTCGCATTTATAATATTAGTAGGGATGATTCATCGTGACGGACCCTTGAGAGCCAGTTCGTCGGTCGTCCCTTTTAGTCTTCTCTCCAGCCTCGCCAGACTCTTGGCTGCCCTGCCAGGGGACACGCCCTTAGGGACGGCTTCCGGTATGTCTTCGTCGGGCACCTTCAGAGGATACTCTGATGATGACAGAGCTAAGAACCTGGTGAGAGGAAACACTTGGTTAACTATTACATGAAAGTGAAAATCACAAGTATAACTTTCTTTATACAGGGTGACTGGTGAATTACTATCGATATTTGAGGACTTGATATTTGACGATCGTATATGACAAAATAAAAATTAATATAACATAAATATTAATAAACTTCTAAGTAAAGTTAACCAAAACTTATGTAATTAATTATGCATCGTGTGAACACCCTACAGATTAGGTATACACACACACACACTCGCGCGCGGCGGCGTTGTGTTGTATCAGCACGCCGCCGCACGCGTCCACACTTGGAACACTTGGAACGTGTCCACACTTTATTTATTTATACGGAAATTTGGTCAAAAATTAAGTACCTATTTTTTTTACATAATTCGAATGAGAATCATGTACCGAGTATTCTCCTTAAATATTGATAGTTATTCACCAGTCACCCTGTATACAAGTATTGTGTGTGTGTGTGTATAATCGTGTTTCATATTATACGAGGTCAGTTACAAGTGTAAGTCAACATGTGAGTCACTCGTCATATTATATTTACATTTAATATCTATCGTGTGTCAGTTCTGTGCCTTTATCTGTGTGTGTGTGTGTGTGTGTGTATCTCCTCACCTCTCAGCACATATCTCCGCTCGTCTCCTGGCGCGGTGTGAGGTCGCGGCTCCCCTCAACTGTTCGGCCAGCTCGGCCGCGGGTACAGGCAGCGGAGACAGAAACACACTCACACGACCCGCGCGAGGATCTAATACACGTGGCCTGGGGGAGATAACATCATCATCAGCCTATCAGAGCCCACTGCTGAGCTGCCTCTTCTCACATGGAGAAGGTTTGAGCATTAATTACCACGCTCGCTCAAGACGAGTTGGTGATTTCAAACTTATAAGTCCATGTTTCCTCACGATGTTTTCCTTCATCTGTCAGTGGTATCTAAATACTCTTAAGTACATATAAGACTCGGAATAAGACTCGGAATATCATTGATACTTGCTAGGTTTCGAACCCGCGCCACAACTTTTTTACAAGGATAAATATATGACTGACAGTAAATCAAGTATTCTATATATATGTTAATATATTTTATTATCATCACCCGTCATCCTGAACCTCTTCTTCTTCATCATCATCTTGTTCATCATCTTCCATCAGCTCCAAAGCATCCGGTCCTCCAGGAGGACAACCCATCTATAAACACACATTAATACAAGTTACTTTTGCTTTAAATACTTCATAATACTCTATTCTACAACATCTATTAAAAAAAATTATATTTGTAGGTTTAAAGAATGCAGTTGCAGTTAGTATTAGATTGGTTGGTTGGTATTGCAGTAAAAAAACATAAGTAACACAGTTTTTAACATATAAGGGCATATATTATGTATAGTATATAGGTTGTCCCATAAGTTTCTTCCCTTTTTTTGATGCGAAATGAATACACGATATTAGTTGTTTGAGGTTGATTTATTGTATTATATATGAACCGTTCTGTTCTATAACCTTCTTTCATCTCTCAGGAAGCCTTATTATGCCCTCTTTCCAAAATTGTTGAGGCTTACTTGCAAAATATTCGTCTGTGTGCGTTTTTATTTCGCTTATGGATTTGAAAGATTTACCACGGAGATATTTTTTTAAGGAGAGGAACAAGTAATAATCGGAAGGAGCAAGGTCTGAGGAGTACGGAGGATGAGGTAGAACGTTCCAATCGAACTGTAATAATTTTTGTCTCACGACCATCACGACGACACGACGAAGAAGCAAATCGCACGTAGAGACGCGGTTCATAAGGCCGGTCTCTGTCAATAGGTGTGGAACCCAAACTTCATACCGATTTGCATATCCCATCTTGATCAAATGCTTATGTACCGTTGTCTTGGGAATGTTAGCGTCATCCGCTATCTCGCGGATTTTCAGAGAGCACAGTTTTGATAAGGTCCGCATCCGTCGTTACTGGGCGGCCGCTGCGGTCTTCATCTTGTAAATCAAATTTGCCGGCTCTAAATTTCTTAAACCAATTGCGGACGGTCCTAATGGTCGTAGTACCACTCCCGTAAACGGTGCAAATCTCGTCTGCAGTTTTTTTTGCATTATTGCCTTTTTTAAAGCAATTTTGCATAACATGCCGTAAATGCTTCTTTTGGTTCTCCATATTGAACGGGGCAGATTTTTTTTTGAAAGAGGCTTTGTCACCAACGAAACGTACTTTGAAAGAGCTCTGGGACGACTGAAACCGATGCCATAACCGGCTAAGAGATAAGCCTGCATGTTTATATAAGCATAGCCAGTCAGAGTCATTCATCGCGTAGCGCGGAAGAAACTTATGGGACACCCTAATATATTGAAAAAACTAGATGGTTAACAAAAGAGTTTATCAATCTTAAATAACATACATATATGTCATAATTGATATTCTAAATTTCACAGCATCAGTTGTATGTACAAGATACATTGAAATCAAACTTAAAACGCCTCTACTGCACTATCGTATTTGCACATTGGCCCTTATACAAAGATAGTTAGATAGAATATACTTTATTGTACACCACAAACACTAAATTTTACACGGAAAAATAAATAAATAAATTGAAATGTACAAAAAGGCGGTCTTATCGCTAAGCAGCGATTTCTGCCAGACAACCTTCGATTTGGGGAAATTGTGCAGCGAAAAGGCAGGTGGTGCCTTATCTTTAAATATATATAGTTTGTTGATATTGTACCTACACTATAAATTTGTATTGCAAATGGTCTCCACTTTATTCAGGATTTCTGGAAGAGATCTCTTGTTAGAGATAAGATATCCCTTGTACACATATATTATTAATAATTTACTGTATAAGTACTTTTTTGGTAAAAAAAAAAATAAATAAAATATACACTAATACATATATAAATAGATGCTTTCATATATGATGAGTTTCATCATCATCATCTATCATCATCATCATCACCTTCTTCCAAGCCCGAGTCTTCTGTTCGTACTCCAAGCCCAAATCCGTCTGTGTGATGAGTTGTGTGAGGAGCCTCCTGGAGGGTACACTGAGAGGGGTGTCACTCCTCACGTGGAGGGTGAACGGCTGGAGGAGTGACGCGAGGCTGGCGGGGGGAAGGGAACCTTCCGATATCTGGGGAGGGATGAGATACATTATATTAAACATAGTGACATATTAATATAAGACATAGTATACAAAATTATCCAGGATTTAAAGATAATACACATTATATTAAACATATTATTAAAAAATTATAAAACACACTAGAAGACCCGGCAAACTTCGTATCGCCCTATAATCAACAAATATCTGTAACGTTTCTTTAATAAATAAATTTAGGTTAAACCTTAGCCTCAGAAACACGTAGTGGTTATGCTATAATGTATTAAATAGTCGCTCATACACGACGTTTGTATTTTTAACATAGCGCTATCTATCTATCTATACTTAACTCAGTCAACAGATAATTGTAATAATAATAAAAAAAATCTTTAATAGACAAATAATTTGCAATTAAATGCACCCGGAATGCAAATCAAATTTAAAATCGGTTAAGTAGTTTAGGAGTCAATCGTGAACAGGTGACACGAAATTTTTATATATATAAAGATGTGCAGTCTATAATATGCAAGATTTATTATAGTATTCATTGCAAGTAAATGGCATATAGATATAGAAAATATGATCAAAAGTCTACCTTTCATATTATACAGTCACACATTCAATCAATAATAAATTCAATGTTTGGGGATCTTTTTATGATTGTCATCTTACCTTGGACAGCTCCTCAAGGTAACAATCGATGATGTGCAGCATGAGGGAGAGGGAGTTCCTCGCGAAGGAAGGAGTCTTGACCGCAAACAGACCTGAAATAATATATGATGATTATAAACAAACACACTATATATATGTATAATGTACATATATAAAACATATTGTTGGAAATAGTGCAAATCCGCGAAACTAGAATTGGATAATAGAAAAATACCTTAAAAGTTAATAAAGAAAATATTTCAAGTTCAAACTTTCTTCTGATAATCTGCTTCCAATGTATATACGCGGAATTATACAATGATAGTTACGAGGATTTGTACTATCCCCGATGATATGTTATGTTAAATTTTGTACAACTTGTTATACATATATTTTTAATATTATAAAAGAGATGACTTGTCTGTATTAAATTAATATTAAAATCTATATATATTTGTCCAAACTCATTATATCTTTGTAAGGTATACATTACATACATATACATACATACATGATACAATACATTGAGTCACATGTGATGGAACCCTATCACAATAATATTAACATTCTTATTGTTAAAGACAAAGATAATTGACTATTTGATAATGAATTGGTAACACACTCATATAATAATTTATTTTCAAAGTTGATGATAGGTTTTTAACTACAATATGTTCACTCATTGTGTCCATATGTGTGTGTGAGTGTATGTATGTCTGTACACACCGTCCTGCCCCGTCATCATGTCCACAAATCTCTGGCACGAGTCCAGGCTCCAGTCGTTTCTCTTCAGACAGCGCCAGCCGCCCCGCAGGTAACGTCGGACCAGCTACACACATAACACATACATCTTTAAGAGCCATCCATATAGTAGGTCAAATGAATTTTACGACTAAATCTTTCCCCCTACTGAGTACTGTCACAGATGATTATTTTTTAAATTTATGTATCTATTTATATATGTAGTATTTAATAAAACTATATTAAATTCGTCATGTATGTATAGTGGTAAGTAACAAACTGAATGAGAGCAACCAATATAATAAAGTGATCTACATACATTACACTTGACACCATATTATAATTTTAACAATATTTAGCAGATATAACTAAAACATAACAAAAAATAACTGAGAACAACAACTATTATAATTATTAAATATCAAAATGTTAAGTTTTGGTAACACTATCTCCCCCTTACCCCTCATCACACCATGAGGGGTAAGGGGGAGATAATAATTACCTCACTATCTTTTTATCTCAAATTTAAACTTAAATTTTCCTCTAACAAATTATAAATATATTAGGATACAGCAGGGCTAGTGTAGATGATTCTACATCTCTAAGATCAATGTACATGCTATTGTGAACCACCCATATAATTAACTCAATATATATTATATTGTATGATATAATTTGATAAGGAAATAAAGTTAACTGAAGAAGTTATATTAAATATTTAATCATCAATTCATAGACCAGTACAATACATTGAATATCTTCTCATTGTGTATTAGTTATATTTGGTCACTTCATCATGTTAAGTTCCATCACTCACTCTTGCTACTTAGCATAATACACATATAAATTTAAAATAATTTTATTGCACACTACACTTCTAAAATAAAATATTCTCTACAGCTCATTAGGTAAAGTGAATAGAGCACCATATTACATGTCGCAGGTTGACATCTTGAGTTATACAAAACTAAAAAAAATGTTTAAAGTATATTAATAGAGAATTTTTCTCATATTTTAAAAACTATATTCATATTCAATCTTACTTCATCAAGCTGCTACTTAATGTAATCTTTCATCACTATATATTTCCGATACCTCTATCTTGCCGTCAACAGCATATTTCTATTCAACATATCAAATCTATCATCATCTTTCCCTCACCATAAGGAACTTGTCCATTCTGTGTTGATCCAGTCCGTACCACTCCGTGGCCAACACTCTGAAGCCCGCCTTCATCATCAGTACAGCGTGGTGTATCTGTTCAACGGGGAACAGGTCCAGGATCGACGATATATTGTCACATAGTTCTTCCTGAAAATGTGTTGTGTTGTTTTTTGGTAACAAAATTTTGACGATATGCTTTCTAACAATATAATATTAAGCTATTGCATATTTTATATATAAATTATGTTTGTTGACTTTTGGGAGTTTTAATTTATGTTAGACTAATATTTTTGGATTACATACTATGCAATATTTTATAATTTAAAAAAACCTCGTCTGTCTATGATTATCGCTGCTGCAAAGAAACCGAAACATCGGGAGTATGTAGTTTTTTAACAAGAGTAAAATAACGCGTAATAATCCGAAAAACATTTTTATTTAAATATATTTTAAGACATTTTTCTTTATTTATTTTTTTATATAAAGCTCTGTATTATATATATTATTGTATTCGTACCTGCACCAGAGGCTTGTCAGACATCCACACGGCATAAAACAAACCTTTCCATACTCGGATGAAATCATCTTCCTTGAACTCTACAATGTATTAAAAAAATTATTTATTTATATTACTTATTAATTTTATGCAGAATTTTCCATATTAATTAAGAACTCTCTAAATAGAATCACTTTAAGTGTTTCATAATTTGTTCCTAATGTTTTGATTTGAGGTTATAATCACACATGTCATTGAAAATACTATATTTACTTAAACAATTTAGACATTTATTTTTTATAAATCGCAGTTTACTACTATAAGAAAGGTTAAACTCACCATATCCTTTCTCAAAACAGTTCAAAAGCCATTTTTTCAATGTTTTTAAAACACGATCTCTAGTTTTTTTCTCGTTTCCAGAAAGCAGACGCGCAAATTTAAATTCCTGAGCCACAACTAGAACTTTCTCTTTTTTAGGTTTTATTATAGATTTCTTTTTATGTTTTGGATTTTTAATCTTTTTCTTTTCCAGTCGTTTCATGTTGAGATATTATTTTTTATAGTTTCAAAGTATTTCCTAAGTCGTGTTGAATTTTGATGTGCGTCTGACAAATGACAACTAACTTGCTTTTTGACTTGTGACACTTGACAGGCAGAATGTATCAAAAGTGTAACAATATAGCATTCAAAAATATAAAAATGGATTAAAGTTAACTAATTTAACTAGAACAAATAAATGTTATTAAATTTCTATTAGAAATATAGCACCAATTAAGTAATATTTTTAAATGGTTTATAGTTTTACTATATCTTTATATGAAAATAAAGAAATGGCGAACATACTTTGTTATATATGTATTTTTTATATACCAATTTATTATAAAAATAGTCATTCTATAAAGAATTATTTTAAGATGGAGGGTTAAACCGTTAAACTATTAGGCAGATGCCTTTAAAAATAATGAAAAGTGAAAATAAAAATGAAAAGCGAAAATGGTACATACTGTAAGTAAGAAACTTATATTTTTTTCTTCACCATCGGAGAATAGAGATTTCAATAAATAGAAAATATACCAATTTTGTTAAAAAGCTGATATTTTGACGGGTGATTTTTCGATTGAAAATGAGGCTGATTTTTTGGCAGTTATTCAAAATAAGCTGAAAAAACAAATATCTGTAATCAAATAAATTTCGTGACAAAAAATTGTTTTTTGGAAGAGATAAAAATAAAAAACCAAAAACTTGGGTTTTCGAATTTTTTACATAAAATTCGAGGTTATGTGAAATGAATGATAGTACCAAAAGTTTTAGATCTTTTTATTACCTACGACTTTGCCATATAATTTTTTTCTGTAGGACTTTTAGTTTTGCCGGAAATCGAGAAAACCCATTTTTTACCCTTAAATACCCATCCCCATACCCTTCCCGACCTCAGATCGCCCGTAAATTGTTTTTCTTTAATTTTTATAATATTCCCTTCCTTTTCTAATGAGATTCATTCTAGTATAATTTAATTATGTTTTAAAAGCTATCGGCACTGGTCTATATGAATTGATTTAAATTTTATTTTACTATCCTGAGAGTGATGTGAATTGTGTCTAGAAAACCATTTAAAACAATTTTTAATATACTTTGTAAGGATTTTGGCACGAAAGATTTTTCTAAGCTTATAACGTGCGCTCTATTTTTTTATGCTATAGCTTAACTCTTACTGGACTCTTGGAATATTTTCATAATGTCAACGTTTTTATTTGATCGACAAATAAAATATAAGTAACATGTTGAGGAAACACAAAGGAATAAAGGTGGTTATTTAATATCATTATATTTTTTTAAGTGATTTCTGCTCAACAATTAATAGTCAATTAGCCGATGGGTCATTAATATCTTGTCAAAAACATCAATGTAAAGACAGTTTACAAGTTTTAACAGTATTTTAGTTATTTTAATCAACTTTCTACATTCAGGTATATGTATGTATAGGATGAACAAATCAAACTCCAGATATATAACTGTGTATATAATATGTCCTACAACGCTCCTCTATATGTACAGTTCGACAGCGGCAGGCCGCGGACGGAAGCCGGCTACTTATACTATTATTTATACGACTCTATCGCGTCCGATAAAAAAATACACCCACCTCACCTTCCGCGGCCTGTACAGCCGTCGAGGCGAACCGAATACCTAAAGCTGTTCTATAAACACCTAACATACATCTACATATGTACAGTCGCACGCACCTACTATATACTTTACACTCATCTGTACACGTCTCACGTCTACTCGGACTAAGGGTTATTATAATAGTATTTAATATGGAGCTCGGTCAACACGTGGGCTTGGTCCTGGGTACAGTCGCCGACAGTGGAGCTGGGTCACACCTCTCTGCTTGTCTAATATAATATATATCTGTCGTATTATTGCTCACAATACACATTGCCTGTACGCAGGCGTCAGTTTGTGCGTGGGTTCGTCTCTCGTATGTTTTTTGTACTATATCTATATATAATATTTACAATAAATGCATCTCTCTGCGATATTATAATTTGTGCTAATATAAACATTTAATGTTTCTCAACACTCACTCACACATATATATATCTATGTATTATTCTGTCCGTGTGTCTGTTAATAGTATTCTCATATCGTTTCTACCGTTATTCTCTCTCTCTCTCTCCACACACGTCACCTACTAAGTATCAAACATGGAATGTTACTCTCCACACATTGTACATGTTTTCTTTCTGTATTTTCCTTTACATATTCTATATATAAATATTTATACGCGGTGTATTCCCAAACTCTTCTTTTGTATCTCGTTTATCTCATGAGCTGGTGGGATCATGTTATTCTGGTCGCTGGTCTATGTCCGCGGGGCGACGGCGGCAGCGGCGGGCTTCGGCGGGAGTTTTGGAGCTAACCTGGAATCAAATGTATATATACAGTTAGACTAACGATTGTTTCTCTGTCTGGGAAAAATGGAAAGTGTTCAATAAGGTTTATTAATAATGGACACTATATCGTCCCGTCCTAACCTAATCCTATAGGTTTAGAGATGATTTATTTCCCATTAAGAACAAAGTTCACTTACATAGGAAACTTAAACTAGTAACATAATAATAAACATTTATAAAGTTAATGGTGGTCTTATTTATACAAACATTCAAATATTATAAAGTTTGACAGGATGTTTTTAATTTAGCCTTAAATTTCAAAAAAGATTTTTCGTTTAATATTTCTTTCGGTAAATTATTGTACATTAGCGCTCCCTCAAATTGTATAGTTTTGCTACCACAATGTTTAGTTCTAGACTTAGGTGTTTGTAATTTATGTATAATTTTTTTTAATGATGTCAATGATCATTTCATACACTACACAAGTGGTAGAGTTTTTCTTCTCAGCATGTACTTTCTCCAACTAATCAATTAAACTCAACGTATCTTCAGACCAGTCGAGGTTGACCTCTCCCGAGTCTAGTGTGTGTATATGTGTGTGTGTGTGTGTGTGTGTATACTAACGCGGCCGTGTGCCTCCTCTGCAGCAGGGCGGAGTGCGCGGGCCGCAGCAGCTCGGGCGGCGGCGGCGGGCGGGGCGGCAGCGCGGGGGGAGGGGGAGGACACTCGCCGCACGACGGCTGGAACATATAACACACTGTTACTACACTTACTCATACTTATAATACATTAGAAACTCGATTATCGGGCCCTCAGTTCTACGGATTCGCGATTATCCGGACTACGGACAAGTCCGGACAAGAAAAAATGCCAAAGCGTAAGAGAGTGGTGTTGTTGAAAGTGGCGTTCGTTAAATGACAATTACACAAAGATTTAAAGCAAATTGAACTTATTATTTTAATTCATGGTTACGGGTTACCAATTGAAAATTACCAAATACATATTGTTATTTATTTCATATTTAAATCTGCATTATTTAGTACATACTAGTAAGTATATGTATGTTTATGTAATCGAAGAAAATGTATCCTTTAATTATTTATTTATTAATAAACATTGATTATCGTTGTTATGCATTTGTTACTTTTTTTAAATAAACATATAATATTATGTACTACATACATATAAAACCCGCATTTCTTCATACATTCGACTATCCGGATTTTCGATTATCCGAATGCCTATCGACAACGATTAGTTCGCTTAATCGAGTTTCTATTGTATAACTGTATATATGTATGTGTGTATGTCTCACCGGGTGCGGCGTGTGAGGCGCGGCAGAGTCTCTTCTCCTCCGCGGCGGCAGGGGAGGGGGCACGGTCTCCGCTGTGGACGCAGACTCTACGTTAATATCAACACTAACACGTGTATGTATGTGTGTGTATAGTATCATGTTCCCTCACCAGGTATATGTCCGGGAGACGTGGCCGAGGGGAAGCTGAAGGCCGCCCTGTGGGATATAAGATATATATTAATATAACGACAAACAATATATATTATATACTAAATATACAACGTAATCCTCGCCACGAGCGCCCTCTATAGCTCATTATCAGTGTGACTCGTTATCTGTACACTGTGGGTCGCGGGTTCTGTTCCCGCTCGTGTGTTCCTCACCTGTCTATCATCATGGGGCTGGGCGCGGGCGGGGCGGCCGGGGACAGCGCGGGGCTCCTGGGGGTCAACATATACTGGTCATTAATAACATATCGAGGTTTATATCCTACTAATATTATAATTGCGAAAGTTTGTGTGTGTGTATGTTTGTTACTTCTTCACGCTCAAACGGCTGAACCGATTTTGATAAAATTTTGTATACACATAGGCTACTCTACATCCCGGAAATCCGCGGGTAAAACCGCGGAGCGCAGCTAGTGATATCATATTCCCTGGTGTATTTGGTACAGTGACTAAATTGTACATTATCAAATTCCACACATACAGTTTCTCATGGCTCATGTATGGACCTATTTTGATATTAGTATTATTGTAAGTTAGTGAATGAGATACTATAAATGTTCTTATTGTTGTGTGACATGGTAACTCGTAAGATCTGTATTAAATATAACGTATGTCTTTTCTATATATTATATATGTGTGTGAACCTGAACAGGTCGTGATGCTTGGGGCTCGGCAGCGGTCGGTCGGGAGGCTCCGGGGGCGGCTCCGTGGACGCTGGACAGACACATACAATATATTAGATCAAACTATCTTTAATAAAGGGAAAATACTTTCTTCTTACAAAAAAAGATTGGAATTTTTCAAAATTCTTTCACTAAGTGATCGGAGGGATTTGTTGGACTTAAAATTTCTACATAAAACACTTAATAACAACTATGATAACTCGTTTTGGAAATGTAATGGTAACATTCAATTTAATTTTTAAAATCAAAAATTAAATTGAATAATACCATTAGTAAGACCTTAATTCCGCAAAACTGTTTTAGGATGCAATTCACCTGTATCTCGCTTATGTAAAATTTTGGATGTTCACAGTGCTGTTTTAGACCCTTTTGGACTCATCAAACAAGTTTCACAAAAAAATATTGTCAAATTTGTCATCCAATTAATTTATTTTGTTTGTATTTGTATGTTATTGTTTTACTATTATTGTTAATCCTTGTCATTTTGCTTTGCTTGCAAGTGGTATTCACCTTAATAGGTAATGCATTTAGTTTTAAGTTGTATAACAATTGTATACCTTTGTATGAATTAATGTATTTATCACTGGTGAATCTTATATAAGTAAATAAATAAATATTAATACAATTAATTAAAAGTCCATTAACAGATTTCAGTTGTTTTCTTGAAGATTCAACATATTACAGGAAGTTTGATTTTGAGAAATATTATAATAATAATTTACTCCTCAACTTCACGTCTTCATAACATATATATGACCTCCCAACTATAGACAACTTTTCTATAATACTATTTTCTAAGTACTTCTCTATTACAAGTATATATTATATGTATGTGTGTGTACCTGTGTGTGGTGAGGGCGGTCTCCTCGGGAGTACGGGCGGCGCCTCGGGCTCCGCCCCCCCGCGAGGCAGCAGCGGCGGGACGCGCTCCTGCTAACATATATATTTTATATAACAATCCGTCCATACGTTATATATATATATATATATATGTATATAATCTGGTCCCTCGTCACCTGTACGTCCGTCCGTCGTCTGTTCTGGTACATGTCCGTCTCCACGAGCGCGCCGCGCGGAGACAGCGCCGGGCGACGTCTGGAGAATCAAATATATATATTATTAAATATACAGGGGTATAAATATTGTATTATCTATGTTGGTAATAAATGTACTATTTATATTGGCAATATTGTATATTCTCTATGGTACTGTTATTCTATGTTTATCTTTGATATGCCTGTCTATTTTTTATAAATGAAAAATCGTGTGCTTTGTAAAAAATGTAGTCCTTAATAAAAATTGATTATGAACATATAAAACAAGTCTTATTCTTCATATTAAGAATCTAGAATGTTAATAAATCTATTGTATTGTTAGTGTGAGTGATGTCTAGTACATACTTGGGTGAGTGGTTGTCCCGCGGCGAGGGCGGGTCGTCCTTGGTGGAGCCGCTGTTCCTGTACACACACACATATATATATATAACACATACACACAGACATATATAATACGTCAGTGTGTGAAAACATTTGATTATGTAGAGAGAGGAGCTTGTACGGTGGAGGTGAGCGTTTAACGCGTTAGATAGGTTCCCTTAAACCTACACCTGGGTCACAAGTCCCAGTCACTGTTGAAGCTCCTCTCAGCACAACGATGGACCCGACACACGCACCGTGAATACATGGAATGATGCAAGGATTCGTCCCTTTTCATCTGTCACAGTCACAAGTTGATGTAATCTTTCAGTACCTGTGCAGCGTGGCGGCGGACTTGTTCTTATCGAACAGCTTGTCCAGCAGACTCAGCTGTCCGAGCTGCGCCAGCGAGCTGGAGCTGGCTCGCTCCAGGCGCGGGCTGGTCACCGAGCGTTCCTCCCTACCTACACACACACGTTATATATGAGTATATAGACAGTCTTCTACCTGGCAATTTCCCAGCTATAGCCAGGGCCTGCCTTACATGTTGTGAATAGTTTTGGCTAATTGTTTTTACGACCGGCCGCCTGCCTGACATCAACCCTCTTTGGGAATATGAGTATACGCATAATATTTATATATACATATATTTAGGGAACACATATATAATTTGAACCGAACCTTTATATTCCCGAACGCACCCGAAGTGATGTTAAAGAGATGACGTTTAGTTTGTTCACTTTAACGAGTATTTATCGACACGACTTGTGTGTTTGTTAATTGAATTTAACTTATTTAATAGGTTTTTTTTAAAGTTAATAATAAGTTTGTTCTACTTAAGGTTTGATTTGTTATTTAAAAGTACTGGCTTCATAAGACAAGCATGTTTTTAATAATTTTTACTTAGAGTACTAAATATATTATTATATATATTGTAAGTATATATTACCCTGATCGTGTGCATGTAGCGGCAGAGAGGCAACACTAGCTCCGTCCCAGGCGCTGCTCGTAGGAGATAGTTGAGATACACCTGATACATAACATATAAGTCTGATAAAACTGATTATACTATATACCATGTTATTTTCTTGTATATTTGTGTACTAAATGGTATATATTTGACCTGTAGACTGTAGTAGTTAACAATGACGCCTGTCGTTTCTTTAAAGCCAATTCATTTGGATGTTTATACAGTTTCGTGCATACTTTTTTCATTCAAATGAAACTAATATTTTTCAGATATAAACGCGTGCAAGAAAATGATATTTTTTTACAAAAATATTACTTTCTTTAAAGTAACTAAAAGTTATTAAAGTCTTAGATCTCTTTCGTATATACTCTAACCAGGTCTTGTAACTATACATATTATATAGTTACAAACATGTCATCTATCAATCCCTACTAATATTATAAATGCGAAAGTAACTCTGTTTGTTACGCTTTCACGCCTAAACCACTGAACTGATTTTAATGAAATTTGGTACAGATATAGAGTTGACCTTCAGAAAGAACATAGGATAGTTTTTATCCCAGACTTTGAAAGGTTCTCTTGGGAACGCGATATAACCGAACTCGACGCGGGCGGGCGGAAAGCTAGTATATATAGTATATATATATATATATATATATATATATATATATATATATATATATATATATATATATATATATATATATATATATATATATATATATATATATATATATATATGTGTGTGTTTTTCCTCACTGAGTGCTCCGTCGAGGCTGACGAGTGAGTTAGTAGATGACAGCGTGGTGGAGGACGTGTCGTGTCGGCGGCGGGACACCTTCACCGGCTTCACTGACAGCTCGGGGTAACGACGGGGCTGAGACCACGAGACGAGATAAACATTGTAAACATATCATCACAACAGGTCACAATCACATAGAGAATATATCTTAAACATTAATAGTATCGAACAGATTATAACCCTAAGGGTGCATGCACAACAGGACGGGATCGCCAATTATTACAGTTAACAAATTCCAATACAGGAGATAACTATGTATTAGTACTAAACAATAACAACGGTAGTTATATCAAGAACATGATAAAATTTAATTACATGGACTAAACAAAAAAAGACGAAAATAAAATATTAAAAGTGATAAAATAATATATTAAAAATGTAACTATAATATATATATATATGATCGTGACTCACAAACTTGTGTGTCTGTTTGACTGCTCCCTTGGGTTCTATCTCCTTGCTCTTGGCGTACAGGTAGTTGGTGACTTCATTATCATCCATGCCGGGGAACGGGTCTAGGTTCTCCAGGAACGCCTGTAACATACATACATATATCTTCTTCTTCTACCTGGCAATTTCCCAGCTTTAGCCAGGGTCTGCCTTGCATGTTGTGAATAGTTTTGGATAATTGTTTTTACGATACGCCTGCCTTACATCATCCCTCTTTGGGAATGCATTAATCAATGATATCTAAATACTCTTAAGTACATATGACTCGGAAAAATCACATTGGTAGTTGCCAGGATCGAACCCGCGCCCTCATACATGAGAGGCGGGACTTTTAACTACTAGGCCACCACTGACTAACAAACTTTCATACATATACATTCTACTATAAGTTACTATGATTAAATAATATATAATTAGGATAAATTTTGTTTACTTAGATATAAAGAAATAAAAAATAGACAATGTGATGTGACAAACATATGTCAGTGAGTTATTGACTTATTAACTGTTACTCAGTACATTTTAATAACTTGTAAGAACATAGAATGTAATGTCTTTATATATAATATTCTTCTGTGAGTGTGTATGTCACTGAACTTCTCTCAAACGACTGGACCGATTTTGATGAACTATTTTTGCGTGTGTTCAAGGGGATTTGGGAATGATTAGATTATTAGATTCACAATTTTGTCCACCGGATAATGTTCTTTTAATTAATTTTTAATTTATTAGTAGTTGTTGATACAAACGTTTTTTTTGACATTAGATTTGACAACTAACTAATATGTCAATCATTCTGTCGCACTTCAAAACACGGAGGTTTATGGCTTTAATAAGTGAACTCCAAAAATATAAATAAAAAAACGTAACAGATATTTGTTGATTATAGGGCGATACGAAGTTCGCCGGGTCTTCTAGTATATATATGTATATACGGACCCTGGTCCTCGGCTCCAGCGTCAGACAGTAGGGCTGGTTCTGGTACTGCTGGATCTCGCCCGTGATCTCCGCCACCATGCGCCGCTTGGAGAAGTTGATCAGCTCCGTGTTGGACAGGAAGTCTGGAAGACAACATATACAATAGAGTTATAGGCGATAAGGTTCAACATAGAATGTACGGAAATGAGCATTCTAATAGTTTATTTGAAGTAATTCCTACTAATATTATAAATACGAAAGTAACTCTGTCTGTCTGTCTGTTACGCTTACACGCCTAAACCAATGAAGTGATTTTAATGAAATTTGGTACAGATATAGAGTTGACCTTGACAAAGAACATAGGATAGTTTTTATCCCAGACTTTTGAAAGGTTCTTTTGGAAACGCGATATAACCGAACAAATATAATTTACAAGTTAAGTGAACTGTATCACATATATCCATATAATCTAAATATAAATAATATTGACTGATACTAGGCGAGACAAACAGATATTTGCTGTCTCATGTTCGACAACCAGTCTTAATTAAACACATCGTCGGTGATAGTGCAAATCCGCGTATATATTTGAAGCAGATTATCAAAAGAAAGTTCGACATGAAATATTTTCTATATTAACGACTTTTAAGGTAATTTTTTTCACAATTAGTAATTATTATTTGTCAGTATGCATGTGTGTGTGTGCGTGTGAGTGTGTACCGGGGTTGCCCTCCTCAATGTGCAGTATCTTAGTGAGGTAGACGCCCACGAAGGGCACGCAGGGCGGGTTGATGCTCCTCAGCCGCTCCTGGTACAGCCGGAAGTGGTCCGAGCTCAGCTCCCGGAACTGGTCCAGCGCGCGCAGCAGCCGAGGGGGCAGCATCTGAAACGTGACACACGAGACACGTGAGCTCATAGTACTGTGTGTGTATAATCGTGTTTCATATTATACGAGGTCAGTTACTAAAGTGTAATAAATATAGTGTATATGCTATATTATAGAATTAAGTCTAGTGTAAAGTCACCTTTATAAAACATCTCATGTATACATCCAAATATTGTGGACCACCCATTGGCCCAAGCTTACATTATGCTATGTTAAAATCTTCTGATATTATTAAATACGACTTAAAGCTATAGTTTAAGTCAACATGTAAGTCACTTGTCATATTTATATTTATTTATTTGAGGATCCCCAACAAAAGATACGCAGTATACAATTTTAAACTAATCAATAATAAATATTACAGAAATTTGTGCTCTTCCAATTACAGGAGACCACAGCTTGCCAATTAAATATGACTAACCAAAACAATATGAACTTATAGTTAAAATTGAAATTATTTAAAAAACAAAAAATTTTAAAAACAATTGTTTGAAAATGAAATTGTTTAAAAATAAGAATACAATAAGTAAGAACAATAGGTTATAAATAATAAATAACGTAAACAACAGCAACGAATAGTTAAAAAAAAAGTGTCAACATGTTATTGATATCTATCGTGCGTCAGTTCTGTGTATCATCTGTGTGTGTGTGTGTGAGTGTGCGTGTGTACCTGGAAGGTGTTCTTGAGCCTGTAGACGGCGGCCGACTCGCAGGCGGCCACCACAGCGAACACCCCGTTAAAGTTGTTGAGGTCGCTGAGCGCCACGGCCAGCTCGAGCCCCCAGGACAGCACGCCAGCCCGCTCCTCCACGTTCTCACTCTCCACTATCCACTTCTCTATCCAGCGAGTGAACTGAAACACACACATACACATATATGACTTACGTATACTTATTTAGTCGGCGTGAAATAACAAGACTACGCACGACGCACGCACGTCCCCGTTCTGCTCCTCGCTAGTCATTAGTCTGCCGAGCGCATGCCGCATCTCCAGTGGGGTACGTGAGACAGTATATTATATCTATTGTATTTATAACCATATAATGTGTATTATGATCTCCGTAACTCACATTGGTAGTGTTCTTGCTGATCCTGAACAGGTTGGGGCTGGACTTCTCCTTGTCCTTCTTGGTCCACGCCGCGCCCACCAGCTCCGAAGGCTTCACCTGGAATATATACAAAAAATAATAATAATATGAACATTGTGAAGCGTATAAAAGAAACACTGATCATCAAGTATAACAGTGCAGCAACCGAAGATGAAGGAAGGACGTTTTCGATAGATGGTTGTTATTAAATACTGAACTAAATTATATTGTTAACAACATATAAATATACTATTAAATCTCTTATTTTTCTGTATACATCACTTTCTGTGTGATTATCATTTACTATTATTATAAGAGTAGTAATAATTGACTGAATCCTGAAGGCCTGGCCTAGTGTGGACATCAACGTTTACTGTAAATCTCTTTGTAAACTGTTTTACATATAAATAAACGAGTGTATTGAAATAATTATGATGTTCAGCTATATCGCAGCCCAATCATAATTCAAACACGCGCTTGAGCCAGTTAAACAAAGAAAAATATCTACACCGCGATTCAAAATCCGGAGAGGACGCTAACAGTGCCATCTGTACGAGCTACACTCACATAATTATGAAATCATGTAAATACACGCATCATCATTCTTGTACTGTTATAAAAACTCGATATCTTATAATTTAATTCAGTTCGCATTCGGTCACCAAGTGTACCGGGCGTTCTCATCGATCAATCAGCCATATATTATATCAAATTTTATTTTATTTACTTAGGAACACCAACAGTACACATATGCAACATTAAAAAATACAGTCAAAAGTATAGGTCTTCATATGTATACCTATTACAGGTATTCACAGCACTGTCTAAAAAGTTTTATAACAACGATAAAACCTTGATCTAACTAAATTAAATTACTACTATAAATAAAATAACAACACTATTTAATAAACAACAACACATAAATTAAAAGTGAAACAGTTACAATTTTAGAGAGTAATATTTATGTAAAGTATGTTTGAATTAATTGATCAACCTACAAAGCATTGTCAATTTATATCATTACATTAAGTGCACGTACGCCATCTATTACCAAACCTCTAAACTAATCTCTATATAACTAATATTCCCGTGTGTACATGTATGTATGTATGTGTGTGTGACCTGTCTGTACAGCTGGAACTCCAGCAGCGTCAGTTGTCGGGCCACCTCCAGCGGGTGCAGCGCCAGCGGGTGCCAGTCGTGACGCTCGGGCTCCGCCACGTGCCGCAGGGGCGCCGGCGGGAGACGGTCGAACACGTATGACACGCCCGAAGACACGCTGCAGAGGGACTCGTTGTCTGACTGCTGGCCGCTCTGATGTAATAATATATAATATACAATTAATAATATATTCAGTATTCAGGCAGACCCTGGCTAAAGCTGGGAAATTGCCAAAAAGAAGAAGAATTAATAATATATTCAGTATGAAGATATTTTAATGGTAATGGAGTAAACGAGCAGACGGCCTATCAAATGAAGGTAGGACCGTCGCCAATGGATATCGTTATTGCTCTTGATTAAGGAAGAGGGAAAGAAAAAAAGAGGGAAATTGAATGGGTAGTAAAGGGTGGGGAAAGGGAAAGGGCAACCGTCTCTGTCACTCATCGTACGAAACGCAGCCATTAAAGACTACTTCACGCCGATCTTATATGAGAGGGTAGTTTTTCCCCGGTCGAGCCAGCACATGTTCAAACTGCAGTAACTTGACCCCAGCTAGCCTGTACCAGCTATAGATCAAGAGCTCACCTTTCTCTGGACGGTCTTGAGCACACTCTGCACCCACTTCCTCATGGGCTTCCCGTCCACAGCCTCCAGGAAGCTCTTCAGCTTGGCGAGCAGTTCAGGCTCACGCTCGAAGTCGTAGAAGTGTTGGTCCACCCAGTGACGGAGCACGTTTATTACTCTGGAGAGAGAGGTCAGCTTATATTGGTTGATACTTCACGAGTATTGTCTAATTAATTTAATATTCACCACGAAATATTCAGAATTAGAATTTAAACATGACTTTAGACATTTAAATTAGCGTACTACATTTGTCACAATGTACATAATCCTTAGATTTATAGCACCATCTAATTGGGTTTTTGAATTATTTTTTTTTTTGTGATAAATGGAAAGATCATATATAAGTTTAATAACAAAACTATTTTTATTTTATTTTTTTTTGCAATATTTAAAAAGTTATTTCAAAATAAAAATTAAATTTTAAATTCAGTACCGAAGACAAGCCGACAGCTCGTGAATAAACCCGAGCGCGTGTGACGTCACAATGTTAGTTTTTGCTCATTGTAGCATACAGAGATATAATAATTAGTACAGTGTTTTGAGTTTTTATCTAGTAAATTCTGTTGGCATTTTTAAATAATCAAAAGTTTTGTACCATTATGTACAAAGACTACAAAAACAACTCCTGAAAAAATGTTTTTAAAATGTTCCACAAGACGAAAAACGTCGAAAGAAATGGTTTCAAGCAGTGCATCGAGATTATTCAAAAACAAAATCATTTTTTTTTGTTGTGAAGATCATTTCGTTGTAAGTTTTCATAATAGTATTGTTATTAATTATTATTTATCTAAGTGTATAAATCGAATAAGTATAGTTCAATAATTAATTTTTTTACCTGGGCTCCAAATCATAACCTTTAGAATCGTAGCATTAAAAAATTTTAATTGATAATTCAAAGCGATTAAATAGTAAATCTATATATATGTTTGTCTAATAATTGGACTTCAATTAATAGATATTTTCATAATTTTATAACATTCTAGGTTCTGTATCAGACTACATTTAAATTTTTAAAGTACATATATGTTATTTTGGTTTTTTTATAATGTTATAATAACATTTTATTAATAATGATTTAATGAAATAATTATTAATTATATTTAATAGAGAATAAATACTAATTTTCATTTAGAATAGTATTTTTTGACAGACTTACCTTGATGTCTTAGCACCTCGAACTTCAGCAAAATTAAACCGCACTTTTTAAAAAATTAGTTATCATAAAAATATATTAACATCAGGAATATTATCCGATTTTGCTTTTATAAATCCTTTATCACACATAGTCGAAATAAACTTTTCAAATCGTTTTTCACTAATAAATTTGAGATATTTTTATCAAGTTAAAGATAATAGCCATAAACACTGTACTATTATGAAATTGCTTTAACATTATGACGTCACAAGTATGCTGACCAATCATGGCGCGTTTACAGTCACGTGATATATTTTTGAATTTTATCAATTTTTAATTGTTTATAATTAATTTAAAAAATATATTTCAAGTTTTTTGCATTAAAAATCCAATATAATTAATAATAAAGTTTTAAAATACATAAAAAAAGTCAATACTTTTTTTTTTTTCAAAAACCCAATTGATCCGTAAGTTAAACTTATGTAATGCAAACCTATATTTGTCACTATTTAACATTTATTTATACATAACTATTATAACTAAAATAACTTTCACCTTTTATACAATTATAAAAACTAACACATGAATCTTGTTAATAAGAGAGATTTTTAAGACAATATTACAACTTAGTATACAGGGTGACTGGTGAATTACTATCAATATTTAAGGAGCATACTCGGTACATGATTCTCATTCGAATTATGTAAAAAAAATAGGTACTTAATTTTTGACCACATTTCCGTATAAATAAATAAAGTGTTGACACGTTCCAAGTGTTCCAAGTGTGAACGCGTGTGGCGGCGTGCTGATACAACAAGACGCCGCTGCGCGCGAGTGTGTGTGTGTGTATATACCTAATCTGTAGGGTGTTCATACGATGCGTAATTAATTACATAACTTTTGGTTAACTTTACTTAGAAGTTTATTAATATTTATGTTATATTAATTTTTATTTTGTCACATATGATCGTCAAATATCACGTCCTCAAATATCGATAGTAATTCACCAGTCACCCTGTATAGTTTACAGTTAAAAAATAAACTTTTGTAAAAATGCTTGATATTATATTTGTGTAATAACATTACTAACATCATTTTCACTTTAATTTACAATATAAATTAAATGATTTCAAATATGGATTTAATGTGTGACACTTTTGAGATTCTTATGAATAAGTTTTTATTTAAACAAACTTTCTGTGAACTACAAACTTACAACTGGAAATTGGAAATTTAATTACACAATTTTAAGTTATTTATTCTCTCTTCACGAAAATACTTGATACACATAATACCCGTGATGGGTATAGGAATACCTGTATTACAGGTCTCCAAACTATTGTATCTATTATCAAATAAATAAGTTCACAGATAATATTCAATATGTTTTAATACTATCTGTCGTCCAATCACTACGACCCCTTCACCCCCACTAAGTGTATATTAGTCACCTGAACTTGACCGGTTGTTGGAACTCCTTCCTGTATCTCTTCCAGTCCTCGCGGGCCGTGTTCTTGCTCAGCTTCTCCGCGTCGCTGGTCGCAGAGATCTCCACACAGTCCGCTACACGACACAGACAACACAATAACTATATATATACTAGCTGACCCGGCAAACATTGTTTTGCAATATAAAAAGTAAAAAATTGTTCTAAAAATTTAAAAAAAAATTGGGATGAACATTGAACAACCCTTATGACTTAGAGGTATGTAAAATAGATGTTGGCCTATTCTCAGATCTACTCGATATGCTCACAAAATTTCATGAGAATCGGTCAATTCGAGAGGAGTACGGGAACGAACATTATGACATGAGATATTTATATATAAGATAATCAATCGTCATCTATATATATATTATACATGTATAATATATATATATATATATATATAGTCTGTATATCATCTATTCTGTTAGTATATTATGTTACCGATGTCCAGGTCGAGGTCCATGAGCGAGGCGTTGGGACTCAAGTCCTTCCTGGGCATCTTGATCCTCGGGACTGCTTGCGCAATCAAACATACAACATGTACAGGCGGGAGATAGGTTAAATACATGTGTATTTTTGGGTGTCTGTGGGTGTTTTGGCGTGTTTCTGTGTGTTTGTACGTGTTTTTTGTATGTGTGTGCGTGTGTATGCGTGTTTCTCTATATGTGTGTCTGTGTGTGTGTGTCCGTCCGTACCTGGTCTCGGCGCGTCGTACACGAGGTGCGGTTCAGGTATGTCGAACCTCTCGATGAGCAGCGCGAGCAGCTCGCTCGGTGAACAGAAGGAGCGGTAGGTGGTGAGGAAGGTCCGCACCAGGTTGAGGTCCGCGTGCACGTGGTACGTGAGACGCTCCACTAGCTTCAACAGGGTCGCGCCCTGGAGAGAGACACATACGTTATATATGACTGATATCACGCATACTATAACTAATTTTAATTTACTAGTTAATTTTAATTTATAATTTAAGCCTAATATTTGCATGCCTTGAGGTAGAATGTACCGGAAAATATACAAAAATCTATTTATACACCTATATTCTGTACCTACATTCAGAGCAAACAAACATTATTATTATTATTATATATGTCCGGGAACTTGGTCGCTCGTACACTTGATAAAATTATTTAAATTCATATTACTTATTTAATTAAATTCATATAATATTATAATATATATGATTGATGAGAACGCCCGTTATACTTGGTGACCGAATGCGAACTAAATTAAATAATAAGTTATCTAGATTTTATAACAGAATAAGAATGATGATGCCTGCATTTACATGATTTCGAAATTATGTCGAGTGTAGCTCGTACAATATAATATATTATTACAGTTCCTTTAGATGCATTTTCATCAGAATTTGAGTGATGGTTACAGAATATAATAAAATGGTGTTCAAATAGTCGTGGTGACCTAGTGGTTAAAGGCCCGCCTCTCGTGCATGAGGGCGCGGGTTCGATCCTGGCAAGTACTAATGTGATTGTTCCGAGTCATATGTACTTAAGAGTATTTAGACATCGCTGACTGATGAAGGAAAACATCGTGAGGAAACATGGACTTATATCAAATTATAAGTTTGAAATCACCAACCAGTCTTGAGCGAGCGTGGTGATTAATGCTGAAACCTTCTGCATGTGAGAAGAGGCTCAGCAGTGGGCTCTGATAGGCTGATGATGATTATACTAACACTTTTAGTGGTTCATATATCCTACTAATATTATAATTGAAAGTTTGTGAGTGTGTGTGTATGTTTGTTACTTCTTCACGCTCAAACGGCTGAAGCGATTTTGATAAAATTTTGTTTACAGGAAGCTGACGTCCAGGAATACGAGAACAACAGCTGGTATCATTATAATATTGTATTTTTTGTACCTTAATGAGCGGCGCGGGTCCGTGTCCGTGCTCCAGCAGTATGTTGTGAGGTCCGTCGGGCTCCGCGAACCTGTACAGCGCGGGGCTCGGCAGGCGCAGCGGGTGGCGCCGCTCCAGGTCCAGGAGGATGCTGCAACCACAACCATAGGGACTATATACACATGGGGACTTGACGTGGGGGGGGGAGGGAGAATGTATAGTAAATATATATAACTAGAAGACCCCGCGAACTTCGTATCGCCCTATAATCAAGAAATATCTATTACGTTTTTTTATTTATATTTTTGGAGTTTACCTGTAAGCCATAAATCTCCGAGTTTTGAAGTGCGACAGAATGATTGACATATTAGTTAGTTGTCAAATATAATGTCAAAAAAAAAACGTTTGCATCAACAACTACTAATAAATTAAAAACTAATTAAAAAAACATTGTCCAGCGGACAAAATTATGAATCTAAACCATTCCCAGATCCCCTTGAACACACACAATTTTTTTTATCAAAATCGGTCCAGTCGTTTGACAGAAGTTCAGTGACATACACACTCACAGAAGAATTATATATATAAAGAAGATATACAGATATTATTTTGTAGTAGTGGAAATAAGCTTGTTCATATACACTTAGTGTAACAAAAAGTGGTCACTTTAGATGCTTATCGATAACAAAACCTCGTAATAGTAACAAAAATAATGTGTTCAATTTAATTGGTCATTAGTGTACTCGGGGTAAGACATTGAATCACAAATACGGGATTCCCGAATCATATTTATGACGCCTAAGAATCATATTCTATTCATGTATGATCTATTTTAACTCACCAAGTTACATCGTCAACTATCATAATAAAATTATACGAATAATTATATTCAGAGAGACGACAATAATATACATGTTAACCCACTGTATATTGTGGTCGGTTACGTATTAAAAAATTAATGAACATCGCCGGGGCGACATCGTTGTATGTATAATATATATAACGAGTGACGCCGCTGACTCCGCGGAACGAACACCAAGCCGTGTGAACCAGAAGATTCCTGATACCACACAAGCTATGGAATGGTATTGCTATCATAACATCGGGTCAATCATGTAGTCTAAGGTGTAGGTTATAAGTTTTAATATGTAATTCATAGTATAATATACATATAAGTTAGTTTCGTAGTTTTCCTGGAACCTCTGATCGCCACCCTATATAATTTCCGTTCAGTAGTATATCAATGTAACTTATAGACTACTAGCTTTCCGCCCGCAACTTCGCCCGCATGTAGTTCGGTTACATCTCATTTCCAAGAGAACCTTTAAAAATTTTGAGATAAAAACTATCCTATGTTCTTTCTCAAGGTGAACTCTATCTCTGTACTAAACTTCATTAAAATCAGTTCAGTGGTTTAGTCGTGAAAGCGTAACAGACAGACAGACAGAGTTACTTTCTCATTTATAATATTAGTAGGGATGTATATAGACCTGTCGAGGCTCCTGTCCAACATAGGTTTCGTGTTGAGTATCACGAGGTCACTCATCCAGCATCTCTTCTCAGCAGGGGAGGAGGCCGCTAGCACCACGGGCGGACCCACGCGCGGACACAGCTCCATTAAGTTACGACCCTCTGACACACAGACAGACATACAACATTATATTAACAACTAAACTATCTATATACAGTAGAAACTCGATTATCCGGGCCTCAGTTATCCGAATGCCTATCGACAACGATTAATTCGCTTAATCGAGTTTCTACTGTAATTCAGTCAAAGATAATATTTAAATGTATCTTAAATCAGACTTCTACCAGCATTTTAATGTTATAGTGTAGCTGTAGTAGGTTCTTTTCAAATTTGGTTATGTAGAGAGGAGCTTGGACAGTGGAGGTGATCGTTTAACGCGTTAGATAGTGTCCCTTAAACCTACACTTGGGTCACAAGTCCCAGTCACTGTTGAAGCTCCTCTCCCTGTAACGTTTCGTTCTGTGTGTGTATGTGTGTGTGTGTATGTCCGTCTGTTCGTACCCTCTCCGTCGGGTCGGTCCACTATGTCCAGTTTCCGTATGTGCAGCTTCTCCTTTAACTTCAACTGCGGCGGGCCGGCCGTCACCCCGCTGTTCACTGTTACCTGGAATATACACATAACAATTAGGTTGAAGAAGTTTATTTCCAAAAAGAACAAAGTTTGCTTACAAAGGAAATTTTAAAAATTATAACTACTATTAAAATTACAAACAATAAGCAGTAGTGATATTAAACAAGATCAGTGAAATCATCTAATATATGGGTTCTTAATCGTTTTTAAATATATTGATACCACACACCATTTAGATATGATAGTTTAATGGAGACCAGCAAGTTTGTGAGTATCGCGTTCAGGTAATGAGAACGACCTGTTTATTTGAACGCTTTATTGATACTGACTAAATTATGACAATGCTTACATTTATACTTGCTTATGAATACTTAGTTCAAGTTTTAGGTGTTTCTAGTTTATATCTCGTTTTCAAAACTATTCCAGTACACAACTTCTCATATATAAATTTTAGTTCCATACACTTTGAATCCAAATAAGAAATACATGTTTATTTACATTTTTTATCTTGTTTCGTTGTCAGGTGTTCAACGTTAAATACATAACATGTTACAATACATAACAATTTACTTGTTACCGATAACTATTTAAGTCTTAGCAATATTACTCTGAGTTTTCACTACAGTATAGTACAAGGTGTCTGTGTGTATGTGTCTGTGTCTTTATGTGTGTGTATATACTGACCAGGCTAGTGACTGGTTTACAGAGCAGCAGTAGTCCGTCGAATAAAAAAGCTCTCCTCTCAGCGACGCGCTTGCCCGGACCCAGCTTGGTGAGAGTGTCCTCTGAAATATTACACAGAGGGGTTAGAGGATGTGACGTCATCACCGAGTTGATCTATATATGGAGTTCATTTAGAGATGATCGTCCGTTTGCTTGGTGGCGCTCGTGTATGACTGTTCTAAACACTGTTCACTTGAAACAATTTGTTTTAGTATTTTACATACATATGTATGTTAGTACTTTGCTTATCGTCAGATTTGTTGATTAAGAACCCTCTAGGCTGTCTTGATTTGTTTTTTTATTATTTTTATAATATTCGACTTATGACACTGTAAGACAACTTGTTTTTTAAGGTTTTTTTAAGGAACTAAACTAAAAGAAATTAAACTCGCGTTGATCTGTAACCAAAGAAACGACTATTAAAGTTTATTCCTTTTCCATTTCTCATTAATTCCATTTTCTACTCCTTTTTTCTACAATTTTACTATTTTTCTTTCCAGAAACAATTACACGTCAAAATGAATTCTTTTTTTTACTAGCCGAGACCATAGAGTTTACAGAAAAATGTACGACAAGGCGAAACATAAAAATAAGGATAAGTATAACTTACACCTAACGAAAAACAATGTGTTTTTCTTTACATACATGTGTGTGTGTGTGTTCGTGTACCTCTAATAAACTCGTTGCAGCACTGCGGCACGTCCCGCGCGTCCCAGTTGTCGACCAGCCTCGCCAGCTCGTTACACTTGTCTATGGCGAGCTTACGGCGGGCTCGGGACGCAGACCTCATGGCGCCCTCTCTGAAACAAAACAAACACTACTAGTCAATAATTAGAATATTAGAGTAAATGAAGCGAGGATTATAATTGTAGTAACTGTGATCATGTTGAGACAAAATGTTATCTGTCAGTTATACTTACTTGGTTTTTGTATTAAGATAATAAGAAATTGAGTAAATATGTTTCTGACAGTGAAAAAAATATATTAATTGGTTTATGATATTTAAACTATGTATTCAAAATAACAAAATTGATTATCAGACAGTTCCTTGCTATATTAGTGTTTCTGGAAAAACCGTAGAGGTAGAAATTCTGATGTAAAATTTTTATCATAAACAAATACAATTTTATAATATTAATATAGATTGGTTTCTCTTAGACTGACCCTATATTAAAAGAGTTTAAAAGGAAATTGCATAATTTGTAAATAATAATTAAATGTACAAACCAAAAGCGTCTTTAAAACTATGACAACTAAGTAAACATTTAAAAATTACTTTAACTTTTGTATTAAAATTTTATTTAACCTTTGACTGAATTATACAGAAGCGCTTCTCATATGTGTATAATATATATTTTGTATTATTTTATATGTTATACATGATACTCACAGCTGTGGTCCATTGCCCAAGGCTCTCGTTAGTAATTTCTCTATTGGATGTAGATTGCACTCAACCTGAAAAAATTAAACATAATAACATGAAACAAATATATTATAGAGTAGTATATGTGGATGTATTATTGAGAGATTACTAAAGGAGTTCAACCAGAGTATTTAACTGGAATAAACTAACATATATATGAAAAAATGATGTCTGTAAGACACCACTAAAACCATGACCATAGTATAAATATACTTTAAAATGTTAAGACAAGTATTTTTTGTTTTATGTGTCCACAAGTAAACTAAATGTAATACACGAGTCTTTTTATAGTGTGAGAGCCTACTCTAGTATGTCTATATGTGTGTGTGTGTGCGTGTACCTGTTTGAAGCTCTCCCGGTCGTCGCTGGCGGGCGCGAGGGGCAGCATGGCGAGCACGTACGAGTGATACACGAACACGTGCGCCACGGGGGACAGCAGCAGCCGCGGCAGGCAGTACTTCACGGCCAGCCGGAACCCGTGACCGGCAGTCTCCAGCCGCTCGCCCAGCTGAAACACACACACACACACATGGATACATAGATATATATATAGGAATAAGATTAATAGACTCTACACACACACATACATACATAGATATAAAGAGGAATAACACTGAATTAACTACACAGAGAAGAAATGACTAACAAATTTATATATACATAGACTTCTATTTTAAAACTAGTTTTTGCCCGCGACTTCGTTCGCGTTAATTTAGTCATTAGTAATATATGTATAGCTGATCGGGCGAACTCTCAGAGGCCATAAATAATCAGGTTTTTCCTGTTTCAATCGAACAGAATGATTGACATATTAGTTAGTTGTCAAATCTAATGTTAAAAAAACGTTTGTATGGGAAACTGAAAAGGGCTGTTTTTAGGGTTTTCCCGGAAATTAATCATTTTTTTCAGCTCTTAAACCTTCCCTGAACTTCCACGAATATTTTAAGACTAAAATAAGATAAAGCTGTTCAGCCGTTCTCGAGTTTTAGTGAGACTAACGAACAACAATTCATTTTTATATATATAGATTACTAAATGCACATCATTATATTCGCAATATTTATTTAAAAAAGCATGTAAAAACAATTTTAGATTCGAAATAAACGGAGCTTTATTATTATTATTATAACTACTCAGAAAGATGGGAATCGTTAATATCTAAGCTATATCACTGTAAAGTTTCACCTAGATCAGTTCAGTAGTTTTTACGTAAAGGAGTAACAAATATCATCACTTGAATATACTATGAGTGCAAGTCTGTCACTACAATTCTACATGGAGGGGGAAGGTATATAAATAGGACTCAGTCCATGTGTGTGTGTCAGTTTATACCTGTGGGTCGTCTACTAATGCTGCCAGCGCGTCCCTCGACTCTCTCCTGGTGACGATGTTGGCGTAACGGACGAACGCACGGAACTCCTCCACCTCCGCCAGCTCTGAAAACGAGAACAGGAGGGATATATATACACACATACATACATACATCACTGATTAATGTTGATTCCCAAAAGAGGGTTGATGTCAGGCAGGCGGGCCGGTCGTAAAAACAAATAGCCAAAAACTATTCACAACATGTAAGGCAGACCCCGGCTATAGCTGGGAAATTGCCAGGTAGAAGAGAAGAAGACATACATACATGTGGTGTAAAGACATGTAGATGATACAACACGACAATAATGAATAAATGAATTCAAACTCTTCAAAATAAGTTTATACTACAACTAAATATATGGTTCCTGTAGTTATTAAATAACAAACTTAATTAATAATAAATTGACAGAATTATACCACTCATAAACATGTTTTCTTTAACAATTTAACCATTATATATATGTCATATATTTAATAATAGCTGTACTTCATTAGATCAGAACAATAAATGTATGTATAGTGTATATTTCTCTGTGTGTATGTGTGTGTATATATGTATCTGTGTGTGTGTGTATGTCTGTTCCCCCCACCTTCAAAGCAGCTCCCTATGTAGGGAGTGAGCGTGTCCTGTGACATCTCCATGGCGTCCTCGAGGTTCCCCAGCAGCGTCACCGTCAGCTCGTATATGTCCACTATGTTGCCGAATATTAGAGATATAACCTGCACATATATAACACACAGATTAATATTATTATTTTTATTTACAGTGTTTGTCTGTGTCCACTCAATCTGGACATATATTAATATCCATCATATGATCATATACAGGGTGACTGGTGAGTTAGTATCAATATTTAAGGACGTGGTAGTTGACGATCATATATGACAAAATAAAAATTAATATAACATAAATATTAATAAACTTCTGAGTAAAGTTAACCTAAAGTTATGTAATTAATTACGGATCGCGTGGATACCCTAGCTGCGTTATCGACACAAAACAGTTATGTACGTAGGTATATGTAGTTATCGCGCGGTAGTTTACCTACATCCAAACGCCGCGCGCCGCCGCGTGTTAGACCTTAGATAAACAAAAATGATCCAATTCCCTTCATACTTTAATCCTGGCTTAGGACAAGCAAAAATACCAAGATATTTCTTTCGTTTAAGCAACCAATTTATTGACTAGGTAAATGATGTGACCTTGACACAAAAAATAATATGAACTGTTTACCTATCTTGGTATTTCCGGCGTATTTAAAAATGGAATCATACTTATTAACAACAATTGTCAATCATTAAACTACCTATTTACCTACATAACTACACTAACCTTAACAAATGTTCAAAGTGAGCTCCTTCTCGTGTGATACACAGTTCGGCACGTTTACACATATTGTCTTTCACACGATTTAATACGAATGGGTCACTTTGAATAGTTTTGAAATCACTATTGATTTTTAATTTCAACTCCTCTCTGTTTACATACTCTGTAGCATACACAAGACGTTTCCTTGGGCATGTGTTGGAACACGGAACTGTCCGAAGTCTCGTAATCTTTGATTAGCGTTTAAGATGACGCTGGCCGTAGGTACTCAACGATTGGGGAACATCTCCCGGTACAAATTGATTGCGCCCGGCAAGCTATCATTTGCACGCGCATACGCATGAACCATGTCCAAGTATTCTGCATTTGTGTATTGAAAAGCCATACTTAATTACTAATAAGTAATAACGGGTCACACGCACACACGACTGATTATTATCCCTACTAATATTATAAATGCGAAAGTAACTCTGTCTGTCTGTCTGTCTGTCTGTCTGTCTGTCTGTCTGCTACGCTTTCACGCCTAAACCACTGAACTGATTTTAATGAAATTCGGTACAGAGATAGAGTTGACCTTGAGAAAGAACATAGGATAGTTTTTATCCCAGACTTTTGAAAGGTTCTCTTGGAAACGCGATATAACCGAACTCCACGCGGCGAAGCTGCGGGCGGAAAGCTAGTTAGGTATACGCGTAAGATCGATCGCTAGGCGCGCGCGCGGGAAGACGAACGTACGGACCTTACGGCGGCGCTCGCCCGACTAATTAGCCACGGCGCGTCGGTGGGGAGTAGCGACACACTGGCGCCGGCAAGGCTGGGTACGTGTCCAAACTTTATTTATTTATACGGAAATTTGGTCAAAAATTAAGTACCTATTTTTTTTACATAATTCGAATGAGAATCATGTACCGAGTATGCTCCTTAAATATTGATAGTAATTCACCAGTCACCCTGTATATCTATCATGTATAATTTTCTCATTACTTTTATGCCTATTTTGCCAAAGTATTGAACAGAACTTTTTACTACTACGATAATTATTTATTATTTAGTTTCTTATTATTTATTGAGTTTCTTTATTAAGGATTTACATATAAAAAACTTCCTTATATACGGCGTGAACGGTAGTTATAATAATGATAATCATTGTATCGTGATCAAATGGAACATGTCTTGTGTATGTTCAACTACCAATCTGAATGGTAGTTATATATTATAATATACATATACTTATATGTTTGTCCTTGCATCACGTTAATACTCCTACATCACCCTGTATAATGTATATATTATGTCCCACCTTACTATCATCCACAATCTTATATATGGTGTGAACGATACTCATATAATATGTTTTTTATTGCATCACGTTCATACTCCTACATCCCCCTGTATATAGTATGCATGCCCCACCTTGTTATCATCCACGATCTTCTCCAGCTCCTCCTTGAACACCCTTATCATCAGGTTGAGGTCCCGGAGGAAGGTCCGCTCGTCCGCCAGCAGGTCCCGCACCAGGTCTCCGTATGACAGAGACGCCCGTCTGCCTCTCTCGCTCGTGTTAAAGGCCGGTAGGGCCGCGATGCTGGCTAGCTCCGAGTCCTGGTAGAACATGTCGATGAGGACCTGGAAATGTTGGTCATAATATATTGATATTGGTAATACTATATATTGGTAAGTCAGTGGTGGCTCAGTGGTTAAAGGGCCCGCCTCTCGTCGCCGAGGGCGCGGGTTCGATCCTGGCCCAGGCAAGTACCAATGTGATTTTTCCGAATCATATGTACTTTCTAAGAGTATTTAGACATCACTGATTAATATTGATTCCCTAAAAAGGGTTGATATCAGGCAGGCGGCCGATCGTAAAAACAAATAGCCAAAAACTATACACAATATGTAAGGCAGACCCTGGCTATAGCTGGGAAATTGCCAGGTAGAAGAAGAAGAAGAATACTATATATTGGTCTTCTTCTACCTGGCAATTTCCCAGCTTTAGCCAGGGTCTGCCTTACATGTTGTGAATAGTTTTGGCTAATTGTTTTTACGACCGGTCGCCTGCCTGACATCAACCTTCTTTGGGAATAAAGAATTGCAATACTATATATTGGTAGTTGGTACTACTATATACTGGCAATACTGTATATTGTCTCTTGTCTACATTGTCTGTGGTGTCTATGGTGCAATAATGATGTGTTTTGTTCTGATTGAGCTTCGTAATAGATTATTTCCTAAATAAAATTAAATATGAACAACTAAGTATTATTCTCCACATTGAGGAATGAAGATAACATGATGTGGTATTGCCGTAGAATTTACTTATAATTGGTCTACAGCATACTAACTAACCTTAACAAAACTATAACAACCATCATCATCATCATAATACTGTTCCCTTCTACCTGGTAATTTCCTAGCATTAGCAAGAGTTTGCTTAACATGTTGTGAATAGTTTGCGCTAATTGTTTTTACGACCGGCCGCCTGCCTGACATCAACCCTCTTTGGGAATGTATTAATCAGTGTTGTCTCAATAATCTTATAAAATACATATAACTCGGAAAAATCACATTGGTACTTGCCAGGGCCAGGATCAAACCCGCGCCCTCGTGCATGAGAGGCGGGCCTTTTAACCACTTGGCCACCACTGACTCCATCATCATAATAGTGTTATTTTATTCTAAGTCTGTGTCTGTGTGTGTGTTTGTGTACCTTATCAGCGCACATGGCCGTCTTGATGTCGCTGCACGTGATGACCTGGTAGCCGCTCTTCTGTGAGATCTTCTTCACGAAGTTGCCGGCCAGCCGCAGGATGTCGGTACTGATGAACTCTAGGATGACCGTCATGAACGTGGTCACCGACATGTCGATCTTGTACAGCAGCACCTCCTTGAAACACAAACAAACACTTTATATAGGAGCATGTGAGGGAAACGTCTACTACCTACGATCTTTGACCACTAATAATGGAGGTCCAACCATTTAAAATATAACGACAAATGATTATCAGCCAAATTGTATGTTATTCATTCAAACATGCTCGAGCTGCAGTAATTGACCACAGCTAGGCTCTACCTTCTCACAGAATCTATCCTAATATGTATACCTAATGGCGCGAGTGTCTCAACTAAGTCTATAAGATTTCAATATACAGGTCAAGAAACAAAACTCTATCAGATGCTCTCACCACAAATATCTCAATTTTTTTGATTGAGAACGAAAGCACTGAATCCTAATAATCACGTATATAGTAACGTACTAGCAATCTAAACTGAAAAGGGAAGGAAACATAATTGAGGATTAATTCTGATCAAACATTACCACAAACAAAATCTCTATATTAATTATATCACTACAAACACATAGACCACGTCTGGTATTCGTGATCACGGTTGCTGAAAAGTTACTCAAAAACGTGGGTATTATATAGTTTGTAAATAATATATTACGCGTAGTATAATCCAAAAACCATTCATCATCAGCCTATCAGCGCCCACTGATGAGCAAAGGCCTCTTCCTTACACGGAGAAGGTTTGAGCATTAATCACCACGCTTGCTCAAGACGTGTTGGTGATTTCAAACTCCAGGTTTCCTCACCGTTTCCCTTCCCTTCACCGTAAAACCATTGGTTTCTATTAAGTCTTGGATCTAATTACAACACGTTCTTCGTCAACCCACCTTCTGCAGCAACAGATGCAGCCTGTCCAAGGGCAGCAGCAGCTTCTTCCTCCTGGCTCCGGCCGCCTCCCTCGCCTCAGTGAGGGCCCACCGGTCCAGCGGCGTGGGGAAGCTGCGCGCGACCCTCTCCTCTCCATCTGCCACACTGAGAGGCGCGGGCGGCGCGCACAGCATGCCCAGTAAACGAAGACACAGAGACTCTACGAACTCCAGAGCAGCTTCGTCCGCTGTCAGCGTCGGGTGGACCGACTCCAACACCTATGATGATAACAAACTGGTCAGAATTACTGTGAAGTCTATATAGTACTACGTAGTATGTAGTTTTTATCAGAAATAAAGTCGCGTAGTATATACGAAAAATATTAGTTTCAGTAAAATGAATAAAACTTGAGAAAAGTGAGAAGTTACAAAATTTTGATTAAAGAGACATCAAATCAATGTTTTAAATATGTATATATATATGTACATCAAAATTAGCAAATGAGTAGACTGTCTACTAGGTGGAAGGTTACCTTTCCCTATGGACATCTGCAACATAAGACATTGTGGATGAGTTGCCGATCTTGATTGATAAGGAAAGGTCTTAAACATGAATATGAACAGAGTACTAGCTGTACAACCCAAAAACCTATATATACATATATTATTTCATATAATATTCAAAGTGTGTCTCATTTGTAACATATTGATGACTATATCAAGATTGATATATAAATAATTAATTATATTAAAATATTAAATAAATGAAAATGTATAAAAAAAAATACTTTTGTTACTTATTCATGAAATGACAACTAAACAAATCTTGATGAAATATTCCAAAAATGTTAGTTATGTATCAGGATTAAACATACATTATATTAACACAGTCCAAAAGAATAGTGATAAATTAACATGAAAAATATACACAATATGTACCATGAACTTAAATAATATTTGCAAATCAATATATTATATAGGCAAAATATTATATGTAAAATTCTTGTGTCGCGGTGTTAGTCACGGAACTCCTTTGAAACGGATGGACCGACGTTGATGAAATTTTGTGAGCATATTGAAAGGTCTGAGAATCAGCCAACATCTATTTCACATACCCCGAAGTCTTAAGGGGTAACCCTTAATTTTTTTTTGTTATAATGAAGCATTACAAAATTTACACAACCCAAAATTTTTACATTTTTATCACCGACCCCTATTTTTTATATGGCAAAACAACATTTGCCGGGTCAGCTAGTTTAATATAAAAATTTTAGTTAGAAGCTATTTCAGAACACACATACAGACTGTCACATAATATCGGTCACTGTAATATGTATCAATTAAGACTCAGTATTGGAACTGAGTGTATTGAGTTACGAGACATTTGTTATACTAACTTGTACTCTTAATAGCATACAGAGACTTCCTCGACTTGAAATTCATTTAGAAATATAATTACAGTAGATACTCGATTAACCAGACTAATTGTTGTCGATAGGCATTCGGATAATCAAAAATCCGGATAATCAAATGTATGAAAAAAAGCCGGTTTTGTGCATGTGTAGTACATGATATTATATGTTTATTTAAAAAATTAACAAATTCATATGAATGAAAAGCAATGTTTATTAATAAATAATTAAAGGATACATTTTCTTCTTTTCAATAGAGAATTCGACTTGTAAGTTGTAGTTATTTCAAGTAATTGATCAATAGTCCGGATAATCGCGAATCTGTATAACTGACGGCTGGATAATTGAGTTTTTACTGTATATATGTATGTATATGTTATGTATAGAAAAAAAATATTATTTATATAGATATTTGATGGTCGGCCAATAGTTCAATATATTATTATTAGTTAACATAATGTATTTTTATAGATGATGCGGTTAAATAAAGATGTTGTATTACATATATAATATATAGAAAAATAAAACATCTTAGTACTAATATGTACTAGTATATAATAAAAAAATATAATGTTCTTTTAAAAGATAAGTTATCCTTTGTGCATCAAATTTCTTTTATAATACTGAAATTATTTCCACTTTTTAGAATGCAAATAAATTTCAAGCTAATGCTATAATCATTAAAAGAAATTAATTTTTTTTTTTTTGTCACCATATTTGGAAGATTTGGACTTTACAGAGAAAATATGATGTATTAAAATGAAATATATTTAATTTTAGGTGTGTTAGAAGGATAAATCTCGTATTTTATTATTATGTAGCTCATTGTAATGATAACTTGATGTATCTAAAGGCTAAGAGCCAGTGAGAAAAGTTTTAAATAATAAGTTATTAAAAACTACTATATCATACATTCATGTATATAATGAGTGTACAACCTGTTCTACTACAGTAGTTTATAGTAAATTATACAATGTACTACAAGCTATAAGTCATCTGTTCAAAATCTGTCCTTGACCCAAAGAATTATTGTCTGACCTCGATTTTCATAGTGCATAAATGTACCAGTGTGCTCATGGCCTTATTTACGTCCTTCGACACAGCTTTATAACTTAATACGATTATGAATATCATTTATTATATAAAATGTAACAGAGAATAGTCGGATAACGCTGTTTAATACCTATGATAATGATGAATAGACTAACAACAAACTTCGCTAGTGACATATTGTACACAAACCTTGCGGAGGGAGCTGATGAAGAAGCCCTTCCATTTCTCCGCATTCTCCGGGTCCTGGAAGTCGTAACCCCGAGTCTCCTCCACTGTGGGCAGCATCGTCGCCGGAGAACCCGCGCCGAAATCATGTAAACACACTAACACGGCACTACACACGATAACGATTCGCTCATAGCGAAAATATCACCTTGTACACGACACACGACAGATACACCACAAAATATATCTTATACGGTTATAATGTGTTTTGTGAACGATATTACATTAATTATTGTTGGATATCAGATAAATAGTTTCTTTGATTCATCTAATCGGCAAAACGACGCCATTTTCAATTTATTTATTAGTTCCTACTCTATGGTTATCAATACTGGTTGCTTAAGAGAAAAATTGTCCTGTGATTGGCTGTTAACCAGTGATGTCAAACGGATGCCAGTCTTTGATTGGATATTACATCCTTGACGTTATCGTTGTCTATCCAATCAAATCTCCAGCGGAAGATAATTTCATATTCACATTCTGAAGTCTCTAACCATCTGTGTACAAATAAAAGTAGTTTCCACCAAATCTTAATGCCAATATATGATTTTAAGAAATAGTAAAAATGTACTTATGTTCTTTATATAAATATAATCACATTGCGGAGATGAAAGTACATAATGTCTTAATATTAATATTTTATTTTTGTAAAAATTCAAATATAGTTTTTAAATCTTACTTTACTTTTAATATTAATTATAAAATATTATAATGATTTGAAGAAACGTTTATGAGATAAATCAGATTTAGATCATCATTTTAAGAACTATTGTGTTAACATTTATTGTGTAATATTTATTGTGTGTAACATTTATTGTGTAATATAATATTTATTATATTTTTTTAAGCAATTGAATTGCGTTTATTCGTGCACACATTGACTTGTTAGTATATAGACTTTTGAAAGTTTTGTATTATGTTTATATATTTTAAAAAAGTCGTTACTAACACTATTGAGATCAAAAATATGATATTGAGATCAAAAATATGATGATAAATTGTGATATGTCGCATAAATTGAATATAACTAAGGTAATCCTGAATTTTAATAAGCTTCATAAGAGTATTTTAATTTTTTATTATCATATCACAATCGATTAGAAGATAAATAAGGTTTTCATTGTATTACAAAGTATCTGAATTTTATAGCAGTTTCTTTATCTTTGGCCTTGTGAAAATTTTATAAAAGAATCAACTGTCAAGACTTAAGTGAAAACACTTGACTTTGACATATCGATCAAAATAGTAAATAGTTATAAGAAAAAAGTGCTCGATAATGGGATTCAATTATAAAATAATTGTAGCAATATTTATTTTATGTGCTGTAATAAATCCTGGTGCTTCATTTAGTGATATATCACCCTCACAGAACAGGACCCAGAAGAATTTTGTATACAATAATACGTAAGTATCAGTCACTTGTTTACAATTTTTGTTTATAAATAATAATTAAAAAAACAATTAAAATTTCTATTATTTCCAATAATTTATTTCAAAATCATATTTTCAATTAAATTAAGTGATAACAAAGTTATTTATAATATAAGTGCTCAATTTTAATTTTCTCTACGATATTGCGACACTGATGACTAATAAGTATTTTTAAAAAGAATTATCGGACAATAAAAATAAAATTTATTGGTTTAAAAATAACGATTTCTACTAGAATTTACAGAATTACATATTTAAATGATAATAACAAAATTTTATATTATATGAATATTTTTAATAGTTTTACTGTTTCTTACATAGGTTTATGTATGACGAGACTATCAGTGTGATACTCAATGATACAACCACACACATCCTGGACTTCGTGGAGGTAACCAATCTATATACAAATAAATTTACATAACAATAAAATTTACATAAAAACAATCAAAAATCTGTGTGAGCAAGTAGAGCTAGCTTTAAGTCTTTATAGCAGAATTATATTTTTATTCCATTAGTTTTGTTAGTATTAAAGTAGAAAATAATTATAAGGCATGATATTTAATATCATAATAAAAACAATTAGCCAAAACTATTTACAACATGTAAGGCAGATGCTGGCTAAAGCTGGGAAATTGCAATATAGAAGAAGAAGATTTAATATCATAATTAATAAAATTCTCATGTACTCTCTTATATCCAAAACATTTGTATATATTTGTGTAGAAAAATAATAAATAATGAAATTATTCATTACACATAAGTTTGAAATCAAATTAAAACTAAATAAAATTGAACACTTTTATCATAATATAAAAGTTTTAGTGTTATAATATGAATTTAATTGTATATATAGAAGTCTCCTGAGTTGTCGGTGTATCCAACAAGAGTCTATGTCAGTTCTAATGAGTCATTGACCCTCGAGTATCCTGTGTTTGTGACGGCTGCACAGCAGAAAGGTATGTATCAGAGATAGTATACATATTCAACAATATAACACATTGTAATAAGTATTTATAAAACCATTTTTAATCATGTTTTATTATGATAACAAGATCGAAGACTTTTACGAGTATTAATTTAAATGAAACTAATATTTTTGAATATATTATGCGTTATTTTAATTATTTTAAACTCCCGATGTTTCGGTTACTTCGCAGCAATTTTTCACATAAATTAAGAAAAATCCTGTTATTTGTAATCATGTTTTTTTTACACAATTGAATATCTATTATTTTTATTAATGTAACTCTGTTAGTCGTTGATTGCCTAAAACAAATTGCATGCTGTAATTATCTGTAAGTAAAAGAACAATTGAAATGTATTATATTACTAAAATTACTGCTGTATTCGAATTATTGTATCTTTTGTTGGTAGTTCTAAATAAATAAATAAATTGTAATCACGGGCAGACGATTTAAATTTAATATCATTCTAAAAATTATTAATTTGGGTTAAGTTTATGAGTAAGTTTTATAACATATCTTCATTTATGTCTCCTAATTCTTTTCCTTGTATTTCTTCCTCCATCCAGGTGTATCTTCGTGGGAGCTCCCTCTCATAGTGTCCACTAGTCATGCAACACTTCACTTTGACGAGATGGCTCGGACTCTGTGCCCGCATGATTCAGGACCCAGTTAGTATATAAATAGAGTTTAAATTTAAATACATATATATAATTGTAATAAAATATGAACTGATGTCATTTGAGTTAGTACTTATGACTAATATTAATTGAGTCATTGTGTTATCAGTTTTAACTGTTATAATGAGTGTATTCAGTTAGTTTTATCCCTATATTATTATATTTTATAATCATATCTTTGAGTCTTGGAAAGCATTGAATGTGACAATAGAAAGGACAAATCTCATGAACTGTCCATCCCTTGTTTTTATTGGAAGTTTTTGAAAGAACATATTTAAAGTAGCAAAACCTAGATGTGATCAGATTAGTACGATGAGTGAGAGAGACGGTTGCTCTTCCCTTGTTCCCGCCCTTTCCTTCTATTTCCTTAACCACCCAGCAACCTTCTTCATCAAAAACCATCAACATATTGATCTTTCAGGTCCTAGTTGTATGTGTTTAATATCACTATTATTTATTGATTATCTATAGCTAAGTTTCTTCTCTAGATATAACATCACAAAGCCGTCCTACCGTGACTCTGTCAACGTCTAGTCCTAAGAACTTGTCAGTCAGCATCGAGTTACGGCGGGTCCACGACTTCTACCTGGAAGTCAACAAGGTTTGACCTTTGACCCCCTCACGATACAATGGCCCGTGTCAGAGGTCACTTGACCTAGTGTCTCATTCCAGGAGGTCAACTTCAGCGTCACTCCGAGTACACCAAACTACTATTACTTCTCATTCGACCGGGATCCTCTCAACCTGACACATGGACAGCACTCGATGCATTTTCCCAGGTATAGATACTACAACGCTTTGGATATATGAAAAGTGAACATTAATTTATAATACATAGGTTATAATTAAGTTTTGTTAAATAAATTGAAGGACTAGTAATTTTTTGACATAATTTGCATGTAAGGGACAATTTTTTAGATTTGTTTTAGCTAACAATTTGAGGAATAAAAAGAAACTTGAACTCATAAGAGTACAAACTAATTATGGCAAAAAAACTATTTTGTTTGAAGGAGCTCAGTTGTTCAATAAATTACCAACTGACATTAAAGAATTCGAAAATACTAACTTGTTTAAAAGTATGTTAAAAATATATGTAGTTACTTTATAACTTCTAACACTCTAGATAATATTGCATTGCTTTATATCTTTAAATTTTGTATCTCATTTTAAGTGGATTGTATGGTCTTATGAGTAATAAATTTCTTTAAACCGTAAAATTGGCACAAAATATACATCTTCTTCTGTAATATATACTTACGTTAGTTAAATTTGTTCCAGATTCAACTATACGATACCAAAGAGCGTTTTACTGATGATAGATTCTGAGGATGATGTGTGCGCCGTCGTCTCCATACAGAATAATTCAGTAAGTTTTATGATTTTTTTATATCTCTGTCTAAGATAAGACATAGCAAATATCCGATTGTCTCGCCCTAGTAGCAGTCAATATTATTTATATTCATAGTTATACAGGGTGACTGGTGAATTACTATCAATATTTAAGGAGAATACTCGGTACATGATTCTCATTCGAATTATGTAAAAAAAATAGGTAGTTAATTTTTGACCAAATTTCCGTATAAATAAATAAATTGTGGACACGTTCCAAGTGTGGACGCGTGCGGCGGCGTGCTGATACAACACCACGCCGCCGCACGCGTTTGTGTGTGTGTGTGTGTGTGTGTATACCTAATCTGTAGGGTGTTCACACGATGCGTAATTAATTACATAACTTTTGGTTAACTTTACTTAGAAGTTTATTAATATTTATGTTATATTAATTTTTATTTTGTCATATATGATTGTCAAATATCACGTCCTCAAGTATCGATAGTAATTCACCAGTCACCCTGTATATGTATATGTGATACAATTCATTGCTCTGTAATTTTTTAAATATTAGTAACAAATAAACCATTACAATCACACGTCTCTTCATTCAATATTTCCGCACATTCAAAATTGAGCCTTATCGCTTCGAACATCTCTGTTGGGCAGTGAGATAAAAATGAGTTGGGGTGATACTGATTATAAATTGACACCATGTAGAGGAGACAATGATATTTGAGAAACAAAAGATCTATAAATACATAGGACTAGAAATACAGAGAGAATGAAAGTCTTTGGTAATCAATGAAGTATCTTGGTCCTATCAAATATATAAAGCAGAACTCTATATCTTCTTAGCTTCGATTCAATTGAGGAGAAGGTGGCATTGCCAGGGTAGCAGACAATTTGTAGTTTGACTCCAGCGATTTTACTGCAAGAAGGCTCACTTTTTGGCCATTTTCAGCAGTCAGCATAATACAAAGATATTGTAAATAGAGTAACTGTTTTTTATCGTCGTTATATTTTTCATTCTTTCTTGCTTGTTTGTCCTAATATTACGCAACAACAAGTTAGAGTAAGTCTCAGTGTTCTATATGTTAACAATTCGTTTTTTCCTTCAAGTGTCCGGTGTTCGACAATGAAGAGGACGTGCAGTATCAGGGCTACCACTTTACTATGACTACACGAGGAGGGATCACAGTTACTGTAAGAATTATGTAATATATTAATACTATTTAAATTATTATATCATCTTGTTAAAAATGTGATGTCTAAAAAATAGATACTTTTTTAAAAAAATATTTGCTATATGTATTTATAATGGATTAAGTTTAGTATTGGAGTACAACTTTGGCCAAAAACACCAAAAAAGAAAAAAAATAGTTTTTTTTCGTTTTGTGTAATTTTTCAGTGCATTAAAAATATTTAAAGTGCACCTCTCTTATGAATCTTTGCGCTGTTCTGTTGTTCTACGTCTTGTAACAAATTTTACATAATGACATACAATCTTCTTTACCTTCATCAACTCTCTAGAGGCAATCCATTAATGCTTCGTGTTTTTCTGACCCCAGCAATCAATGTTCCCTCGAGGTTTCTACGTGGTGTTCATAGTTAAGGAGAGTGACGAGGAGTGTACGGGAGTAGCTGATAACGTACACGCTGATAAGAGACTCAAGACCTTCAGGTTTGTATTCACATGATAGAAGATACTAAGAATCACTCCAGAAATATTGTTGTACTAGCTTTCGCAGCTTCGCCCGCGTGGAGTTCGGCTATATCGCGTTTCTAAGAGAACCTTTCAAAAGTCTGGAATAAAAACTATCCTATGTTCTTTCTCAAGGTCAACTCTATGTCTGTACCAAATTTCATTAAAATCAGTTCAGTGGTTTAGACGTGAAAGCGTAACAGACAGACAGAGTTACTTTTGTAATAATATTATTAGGAGGGATACAGAACAAAGTGATAGATATTTCTGTTTTAAATACACTAATATATAAATATAAATTATTAACAAATTTTGGACCTGTACTGCTCATGGTCTATAATTTTTCGTTTAATTTTTGTTGTCAAAAATGAATCTTAAACCACGATCAACTTAAATACTTCATTAATTTTTTATCAGCTACATATATCCTTGCATCACAATGCACTATTTCTATTTTTCCACCAGGTTGTTAGCGGTGCCTTCCGTGTCATACTCTGACTATGTCACGGGGGCTCTGTCTGCGCTGGCGCTGGTCATCCTGGTAGCTCTGCTGGCGCCTGTCGCGACCGCCCTCTCGTGTCGAAACAGTGAGTATACTTAATTAATAGCAACAAGTATTAAGAATACCTTACATGTATGATCCCTGGTCCTATATGTAAGTATAACTAGTCCCTGTCTCACTACTACCCCGCCTAGAGCGACGCACGTCCCCGTTCTGCTCCGCGCTAGTCGTTAGTCTGCCGAGCGCATGCCGCATCTCCTGTGGGGTACGTGAGACAGTGTATTATATATATTGTATACATACACACACTACAAGGAGCATTATCATCTTAGCGTTTTCTTGTTTATTATTCTTCTTGGATGATATATTTATATATCTCTCTGATAATTTAACTTTATGGCCTATATTTTACGGAGAAATATATTTTACTCATATCAAACGTAGAGTCTAGCTGTGTCAGGTAACTATAGGTTTAACATGTGTTCGCTCGACCGAGGAAGTATCACCCTCTCACAGAAGATCGGCGTGAAGTAGTCTTTAATAGCTGCGTTTCCGATGAGTGAGAGAGACGGTTGACCTTTTCATTTTTCTATCATTTCCTCTCTCTCTTCCACAATCAAGGTTGGCAAAATATCCGCCAAAACTATGTTATAGATATCTATAGATGACAGTGTCTATATCTATCAGATAGGCCATATACAGTCCAAAAATCATGACTATAGTTTGTACTGGCCTATTTAATGTAATATTTTTATTATCACAGATGAAGTATTAATAATAGAAGACCCGACGCCTTCCGGCTCCAGAACAGACACCAACGTCAGCGAGACCGCGCCGATATTTAGTAAAAGTGACGGTGAGTTACATTTATTTATTTATTTGAGGATCCCCAACAAAAGATACGCAGTATTGTTTTATTTCTATTGTTAAAGTAAGTAGTGGATAAGGGTGTGATTTGTACATAGATTAAGTTTATTAAATTGTATAAAATATATTTTCACATATGTACAAATGTTGGTTGTCCCAAATAAATAAAATAAAAGTATACAATTTTAAACTAATCAGTACTAAATATTACAGAAATTTGTGCTCTTTCAATAACAGGAGACCACAGCTTGCCAATTAAATATGACTAACCAAAACAATATGAACTTATGTCCACACTTGGAACACTTGGAACGTGTCCACACTTTATTTATTTATACGGAAATTTGGTCAAAAATTAAGTACCTATTTTTTTTACATAATTCGAATGAGAATCATGTACCGAGTATGCTCCTTAAATTTTGATAGTAATTCACCAGTCACCCTGTATTAATCCAGAATTTGTACATTAGACCTAGTAAAGGGACACAGTAACATTATGTTGTTTTTTATATGTTTATCATTATTTTAAGACTTAGGTTTTGTTTATTTTGGGAAAATATAGTTATACGGGCCTATATTATTTCCTTTTTTTGATATTTATTAATTTTGTATTACTATATCAGTGGCGTGCACACCATAGATGCAAATAGGCACTTCATACTCTACCCATATAACAACTAAACCTATATTGTTTAATTCTTACTTACATACTTTTAATCATACATTAGGAAATACAAATTTTTACAGACATTTAAAATACATTTGATTCATGATTTGTTAATAAGTGCCATCTATCAATGTAAAAACGAAACATTTTCGATCGGCCGCTACTAACTACTAGCGCCGCTATGCAGACAGAGCGGCGGTATGCACAACCACTCTCTGCTTATTTTCCATACAAAAATTCTCAAAGACGATCTACAAGTCTCGTGTATGTATACGGGAAATGTTTGTACGTGTGTGTGTAAAACTTACACATGCATAGTGTTCCAGAAGCACTGATTATTTTGTACTAGCTTTCCAAGAGAACCTTTCAAAAGTCTAGGATATAAACTATCCTATGTCAAGGTCGACTCTATCTCTGTATCAAAGTTCATTAAAATCAGTTCAGCGGTTTAGGAATGAAAGCGTTACTTATTCATTTATAATATTAATAGGGATTGTTTAAAATATCGTAGAAAGTCCGTTAATTGTCAAACGAAACGGGGCTCTCTGATTGGTCGGTAAACTGTTTATATTTTTTCCGCCATTTTATTATTATTGAATATTGTCATTTGTCTTTCTAAGCGCAAGTGAGTAAGTTTTAATCAGTAAACAGTGGATTAATTTATTAATTATGGAAAATTATAGCTGTGAGATCTGTGCTTGTGATATGTGTTTATTGAAATTATGTAGTTACGAGTAGATTTTCAATATTGTCGTTTGATAATAAAATTAAAATAAGTGCAAAGTCAAGGTGTGTGACCAGTTGAGATTGAACTAAAAGAAAGGTACTGTTATTCGTTTTAATAAAAAGTATTATGATAGTTTTGATGAGTTAGCAGGTTGTGTACACACATAAATTATTTTGTTTGCCTTGTTTGTTGTTTTCAAATGATAATAATAAGAATATGACGGCGCATCCGTCAAAAATCATACGTCAGGTTGACTTTTAGCTGTCTGAGGTTAGCCTAGTGAAGCGTCATTGTGATGGTAGCGAGGGCGGCCATCTTTATTATGGAGTATCGTGCGAGATGACGCCCGCGCACCGCGCTCGTGACGAATCGCTGTGTATCGAAGTGATAGTGATATCTAGTGTTTCGATTGAGTTGGTGTCGTATTGAATAGACTGTACTTTATCCCTTTCAAAGTATGAGTTCCCATGAAGGCCCTCCTGTTCTTATAACGCCCTCCTACATCAGAAGTGGGATCGAAAGGGCTTTAAAATGAGGAGAGTAGTGATCATCCATCTATGTTAAACTTTGTAAAAAATAATGAGAAACTTGTCGATGAAAATAATGTCAACTTCTCAACTAACTTCGACGACGTAGTTGATCCGGTTCAATCTGGATCGTACGGAAGCAGATATAAGGGTTAGGACGTCTCGTCGTGTCTTGATCGTAAAAGGTACCGGTAATTGAGGCTCGCCGGTGAAGGAGATATCTGTGTGACCATGGGCCGAGCCGAGGGGAGTTGACGACGTCATCTGGTGAGACTGTTCCTTTTCTTTTTAGTAGTGGGTGTACTTGTTCATGTAGTACTAATGTGTGTCTGTATCTGAAAATTTTTCAAATAAATTTCTGTGTACTTTGAGCAATGAAGTAGTTCCCCTGAAAGGCATCTGAACGCGTAGTATACGGTCGAAGCGAAGCGAACGGGCGACGATATGAGTTTCACGCTTACCCACCACTTCGTAAGATTTTAATATTAGATCGTATTAGCGAATAAAGGTCATTCAACCTTGCGCTTCGGTACTGAATACTCTAGTCATACTTCGTGTACATTAACAGTCAATTATTATTAGTGTTTCTACGTCTATAGACTTATTGTAATACACAAATTTTAAGCCCGGTCATAATTCAAAGTGTTTCAGTGTCTCTTTTGTTTCATATTATTAAAGAGAATATTATTCTTGAATCCGTGGTTGTTGGACGGTACCTTGTAGAGTGGGGGGTTAAAGGAGAGATAAACAGTGACTACATTATTTTCTCAAAACCTGAAACGACAAAAACAGATAAGTGCCCAACCTCAGACAGTCTTAACTTTTCTTGTATCAAAACTTATTTGGAAGGCGACGATAACAAAGCCCTTATCGATGTTTTTAAGAAGTATAACTCATTTTATTATTAAGGGCACCTCTTAACTCTTTAGACCCTAATTCTTTAGACCCTAACATAGTCTAAGAGAGACCTTACAAATTATAAGAGGTTGTTCGAAAAAAAAATGGATGCCCTCTTTGAAACAATCATTTTACACTTTATCAAGCCCCATTCTAATTGTAAAAAAAAAAAAAAACCGAATGACAACTCTGACATAATGTATGTTGACTCTAGGGAGATTAACACCAATTCTTATAGTAAGCCTTTTGTTTTAGAAATTTTATACCGAACTATTTCCGCCTAGTACGATCCTTATGTCTACTCACTAAGTTAAAGGGGTTAATTAAACGGTCAGAAGTCCACGGTAATATTCGTAAATGGATAGTTCAAATACTTACCACGGAGTCTATTCTAACTATATTTGATCGCGAGCCTCCTATAAAATTACACACGAATGCCAGCGCCAACGGATACGGTACCATTTTAATTAAATGAAAGAACGGAGTTCCTCACGTTATTTCATATTTCAGTCGCCGGAAAACTGACACGGAATAAAAGTATCATTCTTATGAACTTGAGACCTCGGCAGTCGTTCGAGCGGAAGAATATTTGAAGCAAAAGCTATATGGTCATCATTTTATCGTTTTCACGGGTGGCAATCCTTTCAAAGCTTCTTAGTTAAAAAAAAAAAAAAAAAAAAAAATTAACACCGAGAGTACATAGATGACCCTGAGCAGGGCACTTCCAAGAGCGACAAAAGCAAGGCTCAAGTAGTTAATAAGTCTGTGCAGTTTGTAGAGGTAAATCAAGGGTGGTTAGCGGTAGAACAAAAACGTGATGCATATGTTCAAGATATTGTTGCTCAGCTCTTAAATAATAAGTTTCCCGATTCAATTAGTCACATCTACGATGTTAGAAACAATATGCTATATCGAAAAAAAATTGAGCGAAACAAAGTTAGTCGTTGGTAACCTATCGTCCATCAGTCCCTTGTATGGACTTAAATCAACCATATCCATACTGAGATAGACACGTTTAGTTTCTTGATGGAGTGCAACGCAGGCAGGTATTTTTAGGTGTTCTGGGATTTGGTCCAGTCACCTTTTGGGATTTAGTCCTCTAGTTCGGTTACCGTCCACTTTTTCAATCACTAGCGGACGTTTAAAGCTGTCCGTAGTTCTGTCAGGGAACTGACCAATCAACGCCAGTATGTGCTGCAAATAGATATTAGATAAGCGCTGACCATATTTTGAGGTATGCGTAACATACTTCGTCATCACCACATTCCTAAGGCATCAATTCTTTGCCTGTCAACGACTTTCATAGTCCACGTCTTTGCACTATACAGAATCGGATAGCTAGATAGATAGAAATATAGAGAAGGCAAGCGTTCGTATCAGATGCATTTTTGTTCCATTAATAATTTTCCTATCTCTCCAAATTTTATTCAGTGGGGTTATTGCTATTTTGGCCATGTAAATTCTCCTACGGATTTGCATACATTTTATTGGCATACTATTCACATAGATATGACTGGGACATTAAGTGGCAAAAGCGACAGAAAAGAAATACGCGTCAGTAATGATTGATTATGTTATCAAGTATGTCCTTTAAGAGCATACTCTATCCCTCGATGCCAGTTGTACTATTAAAGCGTTGAGAAAAGCTGTTTCTCTTTTCGGTGTTCTCAAGCGAATTGTTATATCGGGGAAGGGGCTTTGTAAGCGCGGACTTTAGAGAATTGAGTAAAACACCTCGTATAGAACTTTACTTTATAACAACAGGGGCAAATAAAGCCAACGGTCAAGTAGAAAGGGTCATGCAGATTTTAAAATGTCTGCTAACTATTATAGAAAACGATACCCATAAAACGTGGCGTGACAAACTTCCTGAGGTACAAGGGACGAAACCGCTTAGCATTCAATGGATTCACCGTGCGGGTGCCGGGTCCATCGCGTTGCAGGGAGGGGAGCTTCAGCAGTGCCTGGGACTTGCGACCCAGGTGTGGGTTTAAGGGGCCCCTTAACTAACGCGCGTTGTACGCTCACCTCCACTGTCCAAGTTCCTCTCCCTACCTGGCCAAATTTGGAAGGAACCTGCTAGGGCTGCTTTCGACGTACGTTCCGAGAATGAATTAATGTTGGTTCTGGACGGGCCCAAGTCTTTTAGTAGGTTGTAGAGAGATTTGGCTGTTATGCCTCTCGCTCCCACCTCTACCGCGGACGAACCTATTTCGAGTTAGTTCGTTAGTGAGCTCGTAATACTTAATGACCTTGATGGCATGGTCTTTGGGGATGTTGGTTTCCCAAGGCACCGTAGGCTCTATCATCACAACGCGCTTTAAAATACGCGAATATAGAAATATGTCTGGTCTGGAGGCTGACGCACAAATATCCTCGGGGATTTTGTGTTGTTTCTCATACGTATCCATCATGATAGTCCAATCCGAAGCCGCTTTAAGGATAGAGTAAGGCTTGACGTTTGATTTTATAGCCCTGGTGCTCTCTCTCACAAAACCTATTGATCGCTCGTTTGTGGTTATTTCCCTTTGCGCTCTGGCTACCGAAAGACTAACCGCTTCAAGTATGATCTCTAAAACCCTATAGTGACGACGCGAGAATTGACCGCTGTCCAGGAGAACCTTACATCTCACTAGCAAATGCTTAGCAGTTCCAACTGCCTTTCCGCAGATATAGCAAGTGTTTTCGGTACCTTTACCCCATCTTACTAAATTACTCTGATCTGGGAGAGTCATCTAGCACTTAATAACACAAGCCGTAGTGTTACAGGATATACTCCAACAGAACTAATGTTTGGCATTCGCGCGCAATCTTTAGGGATATCATTAATAGCCCAAAATTCAAACGAGCCGAGATTAGATTTAGACAATATCCGGAATAAAACTTCCCTCAACACTGAAAACGCAGATCAAAAGGAAATAGTTAAATTTAGTAAAGGCAAAGCCCAAGTAAAACCTTTTTTTTCTTTCTCGGGGAGATTACGTTTTTGTTAAGTGTAGCGAATGTTACCAAACTAAACTGCAAAGAAAGTTTAGGGGACCTTTTATCATAACTAAAATTCTAGACAACGATAGGTACGAACTGAAACATACCGATGAATCTAATTGCACTTTAAAATACTCTCATGAAAACTTGGGCGCAGTACCCAGAGGCTTTGAAGGGTTAGTTGACATATCCACTGAACTAAGTAATGAGGAGGCCGAGACGGCGGGTCATGGAGTGGAGAGAATGGAAACGAAGCTATGTCAGATGATGAAAGTGAGTAGCTGAGTAGCTCTGATGGCCTCCAACATTGATAAACCATAAATGAGTTGTGTAAGTTTGAGTTGGTGTGTTTGAGGTGGCGATGGAACTGGCTGATGCGGCCGATGTTTCTAGTAGTGATGGATCAAAGCGTGCAGGGGCTGGCTCGATGGAGTCCACGTCCGGTCGACGCTTGATCAGGTTGTGAAGATGGCCGGGCTAGCTCTGTGGAGTCTATGTCCGGGTCATCGTTCACTCACATGAGTATAAGTAGTGGAGATGATGGGGCTAGCTCATTGGAGTCTCGATCATCGTTCATTCGTTTGGCTGAGTTGTTCTGGATGCTCTGCAGATTGTGGTCAGACGAATATTGTCGTCCAGGTCAGAGCCATTTAAGTTGGCTGACTTGTTCTGGTGAGACGAATATTGTCGTCCGAGTCAGAGCCATTTAAGTTGGCTGACTTGTTCTGGTAAGACGAATATTGTCGTCCGAGTCAGAGCCATTTAAGTTGGCTGACTTGTTCTGGTAAGACGAATGAAGTCGTCCGAGTCAGGAGCCATTTAAGTTGGCTGACTTGTTCTGGTAAGACGAACGTAGTCGTCCGAGTCAGGAGCCATTTAAGTTGGCTGACTTGTTCTGGTAAGACGAATGTAGTCGTCCGAGTTAGAGCCATTTAAGTTGGCTGACTTGTTCTGGTAAGACGAACGTAGTCGTCCGAGTCAGAGCCCTTTAAGTTGGCTGACTTGTTCTGGATGCTTTGAACATTGTGGCAAGACGAATGTAGTCGTCCGTCCGGGTCAGAGCCCTTTAAGTTGGTTGACTTGTTCTGGATGCTTTGAACATTGTGGTGAGATGAATGTTGTCGTCTGGCTTAATTGCTACGAGATGCTCGCCTTAAGTCTTAAGTACCATAGCACATTTTGATGATTGTAACTAGTCGTTTGTCAGGATGCCGAACGGAATAGACACAACTGTAGTTCATTGATCCGAGAACCGCCCGAGGACGGTCGAATGTCAGTCCGGCCGTGACGGCGCATCCGTCAAAAATCATACGTCAGGTTGACTTTTAGCTGTCTGAGGTTAGCCTAGTGAAGCGTCATTGTGATGGTAGCGAGGGCGGCCATCTTTATTATGGAGTATCGTGCGAGATGACGCCCGCGCACCGCGCTCGTGACGAATCGCTGTGTATCGAAGTGATAGTGATATCTAGTGTTTCGATTGAGTTGGTGTCGTATTGAATAGACTGTACTTTATCCCTTTCAAAGTATGAGTTCCCATGAAGGCCCTCCTGTTCTTATAACGCCCTCCTACAAATATTTGAATCTCCACTGTATATTCCTATTTAAATAACTTTTATAAAGCTGCGATGAACAGATCGTAATAGTTTTAAAGTACATCCGTGTCTCAGAGCTAGTTGAGAGATTCATAAAGTATATAGATGTTCGTTCTGATAGGACTGCTGTAACATTATGAGCGAGTATTATCAATGTTTAAATGAAACTAATATTTTCTGATTACTTTGCGTATTTTATTATGTTTAAAAACTACATACTCCCGACGTTTCGATTACTTTGCAGCAACCGTGATCACGGCAGACATGTCGTCTGCCCGTTAAAAATAATAAAAATATTATTTTTATTTAAAATTTAAATCAATACTTGCGAAAGATATCATTATTATCAATGTTTTAGAGGAGGAATTGATGAAAATTGGTATTAATTTTTCAATCATATTCTGCTTACCCTACCACAAATCTCAGTGCACACCACTGGCATTTAATAATGTTGAGTTTAAAATAAATTATCAAAACTTTGTAAGTCAACTTAAAACTTCTTCGTCATTAAAGGTCCTATTTAATAAAATGGAGCTCTTTATTAAATTAAAGAGTTACTGATAGTGTACGGCCACTTGTTCATACACTTAATGAAATTATATAAATTGATAATACTTCTTAGTTTGATTAATTTGATATAATATTATAATAATAATAATTTGATATAATATTATATGGTTGATTAATTGATTGATTGATGAGAACGCCCGGTATACTTGGTGACCGAATGCGAACTGAATTAAATTATAAGATATCGAGTTTTTATAACAGTACAAGAATGATGATGCGTGTATTTACCGTATTTCATAATTTTGCAATGAAACAAAAATGACGTGTGAATTTACATGATTTCGCAATTATGTCGAGCGTAGCTCGTAGGTACATATTGTAAAGAATAATAATGTCCAAAATTGAGAGCAATTTTCATCTCAATTGAAATTCAATCAGTGGTTGTAAAATAGTCCCATATTATAGAAAATGGAGTGTGAATACAATTTTTATGATCATTCTAGACTCTGACCTAGAGTCTGAGCCCGAGGCGGAGGTCGAGGCTTCTCTGCCGGTCCCTCTCACACTGGCCGGGCTGAGCCGAGCAAAGCCTGTAGCACATGACAGGCGATCTAACAGGTAGGTAGATAGATATTATAGAGTTAGTGACCTCTGTTATGTTGGTTATGTTATTTGTTCGTGTTCTTGTACACTAATAGACCTCAAGTTCGTAATTATTGTATCAGATAATGAAATATATGAGAGAAATCATTAAGGTTACATAAGTTCAAAAAAAAATTGATAAAAGTTTTAGTATCAGCTCGTAATAAAGTTATTTGTACATCTTCTTTTATATGAGTCTTCCTGATTTTATGTTTACATATTAGGCCACTAAATTGCACTAAATTTACGTGTACCCCATTATTTTATAACTATCGTCTTATTTTAATCTTTCAAATTGATCTGGAATTTATTCCAAAACCTGTAAGACGATTATTCTGTAGGTATTTCTGGAGTGCGTTGACAGTAGCTGTTGTGTACGCGCTGCCGGTGGTCCAACTCCTCATCACATATCAGCGGGTGAGTGAAAGACGTATCATCGTATCTGATGAAAAATAACTATATATATAATTCTTCTGTGAATGTGTATGTCACTGAACTTCTCTCAAACGACTGGACCGATTTTAGATGAAATTTTTTGTGTGTGTTCAAGGGGAACTGGGAATGGTTTAGATTCACAATTTTGTACGCTGGACGATGTTTTTTTAATTAATTTTTAATTTATTAGTAGTTGTTGATACAAACGTTTTTTTGTCATTAGATTTGCCAACTAACTAATATGTCAATCATTCTGTCGATTTATGGCTTTAATAAGTAAACTCCAAAGATATAAATAAAAAAACGTAACAGATATTTGTTGATTATAGGGCGATACGAAGTTCGCCGGGTCTTCTAGTATATATATAATATTTAAAGTCTGTTTTCTTTCCAGCTCATCTTCCAGACCGGTGACCAGGACGTGTGTTACTACAACTTCCTCTGCGCCCATCCTCTCGGTCCCTTCTCTGACTTCAACCACGTGTTCTCCAACCTGGGTTACTTGGTGCTGGGTGTAGTGTTCGCGCTCCAGGTGAGGTGCGGCGCGGGCGGGGCGCGGCGCGGGGGGAGGGAGGCGCTCGGTATACCTCAACACCGCGGCCTGCTGTACTCAATGGCGTTGGCGCTGTTCATGGAGGGACTTCTGTCTGCTTGCTATCATTTGTGTCCAAATAAGATGAACTTCCAGTTCGGTGAGACCACACACACATACATCTTGTTCTTCTACATGGCAATTTTCCAGCTTTAGCCAGGGTTTACCTAACATGATGTGAATAGTTTTGGCTAATTGTTTTACGAACCCTCTTTTGGGAATCATCATTAATCAGTGATGTCTAAAGAATCTTATAAAGTACATATGACTCGGAAAAATCACATTGGTACTTGCCCGGGCCAGGATCAAACCTGCGTCCTTGTGCATGAAAGGCGGGCCTTTTGACCACTGGGCCAACATTGACTTAACATACATATGTACATATATATATATTCTAATATATAAAATTCTCGTGTCACAGTTTTCGTGCCCATACTCCTCCGAAACAACCTGACCGATTTTGATGAAATTTTTTGTGCTTATTCGGTAGCTATGAGAATCGGCCAACATCTATTTTTCATCCCCCTAAATGTTAGGGGTAGTCCACCCCTAAATTTTTTTTTTTTATTTTTTAGACAAAATTTTTAATTACTATTTTTTTATGATACAACGTACAAAAATACATACAATCCTAAATTTTCACCCTTCTACGATCAACCCTTATTTTTTAATAGCTATTTTAGTAATTTAATCATTTTTCATCTCCGGTCGATAACTGATCAATCGTCATTTAATAAGTTATCCCCGCCAGATATCTACAGGTGTCACTTCTGACCCAGTAAACAGCACGGAGTAGGGATGAGAACGAAGCCGGTCTTCTGTTTCTCTCACACAATTAGACTTCTCTCACTCCCTACACAGTTGTCGGCCATCGTTATTGTTTGTGCATCAAGTGTAGTAGTAACGTTGACAATTATTATTTTGCTAGCTCAGTGTAACTCTCATATTAACTATTAATCATTCCTAATCACTTCAAAACACGGAGATTTATGGCTTTAATAGGTAAACTCCAAAAATATAAATAAAAAAACGTAACAGATATTTCTTGATTATAGGGCGAAACGAAGTTCGCCGGGTCTTCTAGTATATATATATATAGCTGCAAATGTAACATTAAAATCGTGTAAGCACACCAAAATATCTAGAACATTCGTCACATCTTAAAAATAAAACTAATCAGTTATTCCCAATCTGGTGTCTATCATAAAGACTCCCCAGCCCTAAGTTCTATCTATTATACAACGTTCAGTAAGTTTGAATTAACTGACAAATAACTATTTATTTATAATGATGATATTGAAAATTATTTACTTAAATTGTAAACTATAACTTAATATTTGTAATTGTGGTAAATTAATTAGTACGAGTAGTATTATTAGTTTATTTAAAAGTATTTGCACGCTAAATCTGCAGAATATGTTGGACCACTAAATGTATGAAATACCTTAACCCATATTCGAGCAAATAAACTATTATTATTGTCAATGTGGTTCGCTTGACGTACAAAAATAAGGTGATCACTGAAAATCAGCGTTGTCGTTCCTGGGAATTTCACACTATATTAAGTAAATAAAAAGAAATATTAATTTATTTTAAACCAGTATTTTTTATTATTATTATTTCTCTGTGTGTGGAATTCCTAAAACGACAGCATATGCTGAGTGATTCTCCTTTTTGTGACATCATACTGCTGTGTAGGCAGCATTTTGTTTTGATTTATTTATACCTTCTATTCTGTAATCTTCATTAGATATTATTTAATTGTTTTGTTTTTTATTTCTGTTTATGTTAGTGCTGTCTCGCAAAGATGTCCACAAATAAAACATTTTCTTTCTTTCTTTCTATTATTATTAAGTTCCTCTTGTATATTGCAGACTCGTCCTTCATGTACGTGATAGCTGTTCTGTGTATCGTGAAGCTGTACCAGTCGCGTCACCCGGACGTCAACGCGAGCGCGCACACCACCTTCATGTTGATAGCATGCCTCATGGCTATAGGTGAGTACAAGAACTTCTCATCAAGATCGTCACATTAGAATTAACTCTATAATTGCGATTTTAAACTCATTTAGTTCCAACTAGTGGAATTCGCTTATATCGCGTTTCCAAGAGAACCTTTCAAAAGTCTGGGATAAAAACTATCCTATGTCCTTTCTCAAGATCAACTCTATGTCTGTACCAAATTTCATTAAAATCAGTTCAGTAGTTTAGGCGTGAAAGCGTAACAGACAGACAGATAGAGTTACTTTCACATTTATAATATTAGTAGGATCTGTAGTTTTGTGACGTCGGATCAATTTTCTTCCATTTATTGTGTGATACTATCGGTATTTAAATACAACTGAGAAACTTTTACCCTCAGAAAGTATATACATAGTTTTATAATGCACAGGAATTTAACGACCAACCGCAGTAGCATTTCGTTGTTATTATTGTATTAAATATCATTAAACAGTTCTTAAACTGATATAATATGGAATTTTAAACGTACATTTACTGCTGATAACTTAATTAATCGACAGAAATGAGTTTTTTAAAATTTCGATATAACTGTAGCTGTTAGCGTCATTAACTTTGACAGTTAGTTAGTGAAACAAGGCCCTTGAATGCAAAAAATCGATTTGAGTAAAAATTGGCGATAGTTTTTCTTTATACTATATGTATATCTCTCCGCCCCTGCCGCAGGTCTGCTGGGCATCATGTACCCGAGCGTGTACTTGTGGTGTCTGTTCACGGTGATGCACCTCGCCGCCTGCTTCTTCCTCACACTCAATATATACTACGTCGGAAAGTTGAAGATGGGTCAGTACCATACTTTTCTATTAAAACTTACATACGTTACTTTTAAAGATTTCCAATAGACATTTTTTTCTTAAAAAAGTATAGTGCGATTGATTTAAGCTGAGCTTTGCATTTGTGTGAGTGCACACGAATAGTGAACGAGTGATGTCGAATTTATGAATGACACGTTCTTTTCTAGTTTCTAACTGGCTTTTACTGCTTTTCCTCTGCTCCGCACTTTCCGCACTTCACCTTTTGTACTGGTATAGTCCGTTAGACTTAACCTGAGCTTTCAATTTGTGTGAGTGAAAGTAAAAGTAGAGTTAGACAAAAAAACTTGTTGAATTGAATTTTATTATATTTTAAACAGATACATAACATACGTGCTGTACAGTAACCAAAACTTGTAAAAGGCCAGATGGAAATATTATGAATATTTAGAAAAAAAAAAATTAATTAACAAAAATTTTGAAGAAACTATACAAATTCTTCTTCACTTGACATTGCGTTTTCAACATTTGATGTTGCTACCAATACAAAAGGTGAAGTTTGGAAGGTGCGGGGCGGATTAACAGCTGAATAAACCGGTTCAAAACTAGAAAAGAACTTGGCATTCATAAATTCGACATCACACCTACACTATCCGTGTACACTCACACTAATGCAAAGCTCAGCTTAAATCAAACGCACTATAGCAACTTCATATGTTGAAAACGTAATGTCAAGTGAAGAAAAATTTGTATAAATTTTTCAAAATTTTTATTATTTAATATTTTTTTCGGTAATATTTCCATTTAGCCTTTTACATGTTTTGCTTATTTTATTTTTAGTCTAGAATAGCTCTAGCACTTATGTTATGTATCTATTAAAATATAATAAAATATAATTCTAAAACTTTTTTGTCTAACTCTACTTTTACTTTCACTCACACAAATGCAAAGCTCAGCTTAAGTCTAATGGACTATACCAAATGTCTTTTTATATTTGATATAAGTTCTCCTTCAAAATATGTATGTAGTTTAAACTTAATTTCCACAAATATTAGTAATATTACATTGTATGGTCCATATTTTTCGTCCAGATCGTTCATTACCGCTCCAGGCGTGGTCTGGTCTAAGAACTCACGGTTGGTCTTCGTTCAGAGTGAAGTATCCCGCGCGGGCGACTCTCATAGCTGTGGCTAATGTGGCCAACTGGGCGCTGGCGGGATATGGGTGAGAAATGGAAAGATTGATAAGACAAGTGCAAGCGATTTTGGTTCTTAAAGCTAGAATGGTTAAAGATTGAATCCGTCTGATTGGATTATACGGTTAGAGAAATCTTTATTAATATTTCTCACAAGAATAAAATTCACTTTGGAGAAACTATAAGGTACAAGCTACATGGTAGAAGTTTACTCATAAGGATAGGAGATAGAAATATTGATAAGTGAGGTGCAAGGGACTTTGGTTCTTAAAGCAGGAATGATTAAAGATTGAATTCGTCTGATTGGATTATTGTAGAAGTTTACGTTTTGAATGGTGTCTTATACCGATGTTTTATGAGTTTTTGGGGACACTGAAGTATATAAGATTAACTTGAACGAAAAAAAAAACGAAATGAAAACAAGCAATGGACCTACATGTATCTAAATTCTAAAATAGTTCACTAGAACACATTCATAGTATAATTTTTGTCATACTAGTTCAGAAAGTTAGCTGATGGAAAATTATTTAGGATGAAATAACTATGTGCACATGTTAAGAATGATAAATTAACAGCTAGGACTTTTATTCTTAGTGATTCATCACTGTATACAATATTTAATAATTATATTAAGTATCATACATCGATTAGGTTATACATAAAGTTAAAATGTAACACTTATTTTAATAAAATTAAAACTTTTACCATTTTTCTCCATATCATATCAGTTAATTCTAACTTGCAGCTTGTATGAGCACAACAAGGACTTCGCGCGTCACCTACTCGCCATTTTGATGGGGAACGCGATCCTGTACACGCTGGGCTACGTGCTCATGAAGCTGCTGCACCGGGAGAAGGTCCCTGCCGCCGCCTGGCTGTTTCTGGCCGCGGCGCACGTCACATGGGCAGGCGCCGCTGTGCTATTCCTATCATCGAGGACTAAGTGGTCGGTAAGTATCCCACAGTATATCCATATTCCATTCTTCTTCTACTTGTCAATTTCCCAACTAAAGCCAAAGTCTGCCTTACATGTTGTATATAGTTTTGGCTAATTGTTTTTACAATCCGCCTGTTGACATCAACCCTCTTTGGGAATGCATTAATCAGTGATGTCTAAATATTCTTATATACATATGACTCGGAAAAATCACATTGGTATTCGCCAGGATCGAACCTGCGTCCTCATGCATGAGAGGCGGCTCTTTTAACCACTAGGCCACCACTGACTTATACTTTCAACTACATTCTCCTACTAATATTCTCCTCTCTATTCTGTGCTGTGCCTATCTACGTTCTACAAGAAATAAAATTAGTAGTGGAACAAACTTTGTTTTTTCTCTATACTACACTTCTAATATTCTTCCTCTCTCCTCGATCTACCTTCTTAACTCGATTCTCCTACTAATATTCTTCTCTCCAGCAAACAGCAGCCCAGTCTCGTACCCACAACGCCGTGTGTTCGTCTCTCCATGTATTCGATGAACATGACCTCTGGCACCTCTCATCAGCGGCCGCGGTGTTCTTCTCCTTCAACGCGCTCCTCGTGATGGACACTCCACTCGACAACACTCCAAGACACCTCATACCAAGCTTCTAGAATGATCTGACTTTACTCTGTATATAATCTACCTTATGGACATGAGATTAAAGCTCATTTTGATTCATCATTAAAAAATGATAGGAATTAATACGTATATATTTATTTTCTGTGAGAAATATGATCGTATATTAAATATACCACTGACAGAATGTGTTTCGTTTGTCACATGAACAAATATAATGTTTGTTTAAGAGTATTTAATAATATATATATATTTTTATTTACAGTACATCAACTTCTGCTAATAATCATACAATAATTCAACTTTGTCAATGATATAATTTAAAACGAGAGGCTATAATATATAACATATATGTAATATATTATATATATATATATATATATAGTATCATTAGTTTATAATCATTATATAACAAATCCAAGTACATTACATGAGATTTACACTGCATGTGTGTTTCATGACAACTTTTGGCTTTAAAATAGATTATTTTCGTCAAAAACATTTCACCAGCTAAAATAACGTAATTTATCTGTATATATACGATTATATACTAATAAAAATATGTATGAACAAAGAAAGTATATAAAATATACAACAAGTTACAGCGTTCTTTTATTAACCTTATTATATAGAGATAGAATTTATTTTCCCTCACGTCAAATTTTTACCAAACAAGCCATCAATATACAGAATAATATTAAATACGACCTTATCGAAATAGATATAGGAGTTATTGTTGCATGTACTGTAATGTCGTGTGTTGCCATATGAGAAAATATTGTTTTGCGACGGGTACTTTGAAACAAGTGAAAACGGCTGACTGAAAGAAATTAAATGATGATTAATATTATTCTTGTTTTTATTTTATTTAAACCCGATATGTTAATATTTGTGAAATAAATAAAAGAGGAGTATTGAAAGAAATGATTTTTTTATTTTGACTTACATTTTGATACTTATATATTTTGAGTAGTAATGTGCATTTAAAATTATAAAAGAACGTACAAATGTAAATATATCAGTACTAATATTAACTTTTAGCGAAATTTACTAATTTAATACAAAGTAATAGAAACAATAGTTAGCAATAATATATTTTTTAAATATAGTTATACTTAAAACCTGAACAATGCGAGGATATTCTCTTAACGATGGAAGAAAGGTTTTCATCATATCAGTACAAAGGAAGAAAAGAAGAACAAATTCAAGGTTCTCCTTTTCCCTACACTGCCACTAACTTCAATCACAAGAGGTGATGTGATACGTGTCTCTGAATATATAACAGTAAATGTATATAGTTTATATTTAACTGAAAGTTCAATAAACTATTCCATTATTATTATTTATATAATTACTAGTTTTTGCCCGCGACTTCATCCGCGTTAATTTCGTCATTATTAATATATGTATTGCTGACCGGGCGAACTCTATTCTGTCTTAGAGGCCAGAAATAATCAGGTTTTTCCTGTTTCAATCGAACAGTTAGTTGTCAAATCTAATGTCAAAGAAAACGTTTGTATCGGAAATAGAAAAGGGCTGTTTTTAGGGTTTTCCCGGAAATTAATTAATTGTTTTCAGCGTTTAAACCTTCCCTGAACCTTCACGAACATTTCAAAACTAAGATAAGATAAATCCGTTCAATCGTTCTCGAGTTTTAGTGAGACTAACGAACAGCAATTCATCTATATATATAAACTTTTCACTGAGTTTAATTGAAAAATAAAATAATAGAGCGTGGAGTCCCCCCGTTAGGAAGAAGTGATATTGTAATTGTAAACAATTCTTATTCACTAATTTTAAAATAAAATACTGTCCTATTCATTTATAATATGTGTATCAAGAACAGAACGGAATAACGAATATTATAAATATATTAATATAGAATAAGTATTTCAGCTTTCAGGCAGACCCTGGCTAAAGCTAGGAAATTGCCAGGTAGAAGAGAAAAAGTATTTCTGCTAATGTAACATAGATCGCTCATGCTGTTAACTTCGCTGTAATGTATAGCAATAATAATAATATGATTTTTAAAAAATAATTACCAACTAATTAGCTTTCTTTTAATAAAACAATTTTTAAAATATGTCAAATAGTTTTTTTTAAATGATTATTTCAAATGTTAACTAATTCATGGCCCACCCTATACCATGCGCATATGCATGGAATCTCCTGACTCTTTCTTTCTCTCTCCTACTATCTACATTTGTGTATCTCTGTTTCTCTCTCTCTCGGCGTAAGACGTTTAACGCAACTTTGTTGTAAGTCATAAAAAGTTTCATATGAAAATAAGATTTAACATTATGCACAAACGCTATTGAAGGCTTCTGCTCGCTTCAAGATCCTGTTGCTCTCCCTGTCTCACTGAGAAAATGATGAGAAGTGAGCCCTGTATGCCTCCGACAGCGATTGTGAGCAGTAGATTTTTTGAATTGAAACTTCTTATCCCACTTCAAACAAAGTTGCGTTAAACGTTTAACTCTCTTGGGGAGGGGAATAGAAAGAGACCGAGATAGAGTAAATGGGTGGCGCTCGAAGGGATGCGATCAATTGAGACTTGTAAGTAATATTAATAAAGTTTGTCTTAAAGAAACACTAAATATTCCTTCAAAATCAATTTCTACCCTTTCCAGTTTTCTTTCCAACAATACGAAGTTTCACTTCTTCCGTGCGGAGGGACTACACTCACATTTGATTTCATTTAAGATTACCTTCGTCCCAATAATATGGAATTTTAATTTTATTAAATTTTGTGTACGCATAGTCATTTTTACTTATAAGACGAGTCAATCACCACCAAAATTCAAATAAAAATACGACAAGTCATTTAGACAGTAGGGCTCCCACAAGAATTGACACCATAACATAAAAAAGGCACACGTAAAAGAAATTCATTCACAACATAACGAGTTGAACCTCAAACTTCTTGGATTTATGTTATACATGTCCCAGTTACTCTGACAATCAATAATGGCCATCCTTACGCTAAACTAGTCACTAAGTAATTATAATATGACTTATTCATTCAATTTAGCTTTTCCGCGATACCTCAATATAGTTGTACAATTTTTATTCAAGAAAATATTTTAAAGAGGACTTCGGAAATAGTCATGAGTAACGCGTGCAATATAGACTGTGATTCCATATTTTTGTAAAGCATGAACAATTGTTTTAAAATAGATCCATGTACAATGTAATATAAATTATTTTAGTTATTAGTATAAGTAACGTTAATAAAGTAGATGAAAGAAGTAATAATCGCTGTCCGGAATGATAGTATTAAATATTATCCCGTGCAAACATATAAAAATAAACTTTGTTTAGTTACGCGATTTTATTCCCCGTTTCGATTATCGTGATCATTTTGATAGAGTTATCAGAAAATGTAAAAATAAATAAAAAAATCACAAGTCTTAGATATCACCATAACAAACATAATTTAATTTCAACTAAAGTTATTGTTTCAATAATGAAACAATTCTTCGAAGCTCCAAGACATCGCTGTTTAAAATGCAATTAATAAAGCACGATGTTCCATGTAGGGCGCCGGTATTGACTTCCGCCGTGACATACTTAGATCATTCAATTACCATAAAAGAGGGAATTTACCAAGTGTTACGTCTTAATGGACGGGCCGCTCGCATTGATCTAGTTCGGTTGCTGGCGACCTACATAGTAAACAATTATAGGTAGCGATGAGCGATGACCTGCCCACCTTGTGGATGTCGTCGATGCCCTAGTGGCACACTTACGACCCTGCAAAGCGCATGTGCAAGCGGTTTGAATGAACCCTGGCCACGCCACTTGGGAACCACTTGCTCTCCACCGAAAACACAAAGCGCTCAATCAAAAATGTTAGTTAATGAAAACGACTCTGTGCTGTAACTCATTAATTTGGTGAGATGATTAGTGCTGGCGCGTAAATAAATATACGTTCTAAACAACTATAATTACTCATTTGAACTATAATATATCTCGTATTTGGTGTATCAAGTATGTATTTGGGTTTGAACATTTAAATAATGTTTGATTTAAAGTAAAGGACATTAAAATTGATTAATGGCAACATCTAGCTGTCTCGATTTATAGAAAAATGGCCGATTCTCATAACGTCAAAACTCTTTAGGCGAGTTACACAAGTATATATATATGGATCCGGACGAAAACGTGTGATTTTTATCGAAAACGAAATCCGAAAGTGATTATAAAGTGCGTGACGAAAACCCAGTGATCGTTAATTATTCATACCAACAAGATATTTGTTACACGGTGGACGGAGGCAAACAACTGCTCTCTTGAATTTAATGCAAAGTAAGTAATTTAATTTTACTATTTATATTATAATTCCACTCCAATTTCATAATGACAAGCAGAAGTTCCACTCATAACACTAGTTACATCCACATGCGACGCTTGTTGTTTTCGTAGTACAATTTACCCTTGGAGTAGAGGTCTTTCGATATAAAACAAAGAGTAAAGAGGCCTTGATAACATCGTTTGATAGTAATATCGCGTCGAGTTCCTATTTAAAGTATTTATATCGTAATATCAGGGATTTCAGACCCACAAATAGAGTCCACACGACATTACATTCAGTACCTCGTAGTAAACCTCAAACAGTATGACGGTGTTGCAAATCCGTTTGATTACACAGCATTGTGTAGAAGCTTTTAAATCATGAGACAATCCCCAATGAGTCAACCACTCAGCTCAGTGTACAAGATTTCCTCCTACAATAAGGTTGTTTCATACTAAAATGCACACACTGCATCTAAAATACCATTTACAAGTTGTGGAAATAACATTACAGTTACCGGCAATAGAATTAGTTTTAAATATATCTGTTCAATTATATATCAGAATTAATCAAAAGTACCATGTCATATATACACAGTATATAAGGTAAGTCGACTTTTAAAACTATTACTTAATTTAAATAGACACTTCTTGTTAAGATCGGTTATCATTTAAAATAAATAATAACATCAAATACTTAATAATAAGCTTAAATGTTAAATATATGTGTTAATTATTATTAAATCCATTATCTAAGTATCGACTGAAAACATTTATATGTATATCAAAACAAAACAGAACAGAATGGATTTTATGTAGTGTATGAAATTCCCAAAAATTTGTATATTAAAGTAATATTGATATTTATATTAGCTAGCTGTTGCCTCTGGCTTTGCTTATATAATAAAACTTGTCTGAAATGTGTGTTATTATCTATATGAGGTTTCTATCGTGAAGATCCTTTCATCAGACCTTAATTTGAACTTCTTTTTGAAGTCTGTTAAAAATCAGCCTAAAAACTGCTCATGATATTACTTACTTGTGAACAAAATTGCTATTAAAATTGGTACATCCATTACATAGATTAGCCTGAATGAACAAACAGTCAATAATTTTATAATTAGCGTTTTTGATGTGGTTATCACATACCTTTTCATATGTATTTAGTGAAAAGCTGTTAATTTGAAATTGAAAACACATATTTAAATGTTAAGTATAAACATATATACATACATACATGTATATATATTTGAAAAATCCTTAAACTTTCAAAATTTTTGTAGAATAAATGTACATCTTTATAGCAAAGAATCTCTTTTACTTTTTATGATCTTTCATCAATTCACATAAAGCTATTACTTAATCATATTATTATGGTAAACATTACACAAAATATCACCTCATCTGCTTGTGATAGGATGCTGTAACAGAATGGTAGCATCGAGATCATGTACATATAACATAATTAAAATATGTATCAGGAAAAGTTACTATCATTTAAATGTGTACACAAAAAAATCTTAAATATCATCTATATATAAAAGAAAGTCGTGTTAGTTACACTATTTATAACTCAAGAACGACTATAACACTAGTACGGATATGGTTGAACATTAGTGGAGAGATAGATTAGAACAAGGAAACGGACATAGGATATTTAATTCTGTTTGATTGAAAAAGAAAAAATACATAATAAATTCCTAAATCTGGTTATTTATGGCCTTTAGAGAGGAAAAATATTCACCCGGTAGACTATATATATATTACTAATGTCGAAATTAACGCGGAAAGCTGCGGGCATAAACTAGTATCTATGTAAAATACTATCGTAACATAAAATTTGTTTTCAACAACATACAATTTTAAGAGCAGTTTGTATTTTTGTAATCCAATCAATTGATTTAAATTGCAATTGCATTAATTGTTGCTTAACAAATTGCAATATAATACAATATTTCATAATATTAATATATTTATGCAATTAATTACTCACACTTTAAGTTAATTGAACTTAATATTGAGGAAGCAATATGTTTTGGTTTTATTATTGACATGTGGTAATTAAAAGTGGGTTATTAATATTACCTTCATACTTTTACATTATAAATATACAGGGTGACTGGTGAATTACTATCAATACTTAAGGAGAATACTCGGTACATGATTCTCATTCGAATTATGTAAAAAAAATAGGTACTTAATTTTTGACCAAATTTCCGTATAAATAAATAAAGTGTGGACGCCTGCGGCGGTGTGCTGATACAACACGACGCCGCCGCACGCGTGTGTGTGTGTGTGTATACCTAATCTGTAGGGTGTTCACACGATGCGTAATTAATTACATAACTTTTGGTTAACTCTACTTAGAAGTTTATTAATATTTATGTTATATTAATTTTTATTTTGTCATATATGATCGTCAAACATCACGTCCTCAAGTATCGATAGTAATTCACCAGTCACCCTGTATAGTGTAGCAAATATCCAATTTTTGATGAATATCCATGAAATGAATAGAGACCTTAGCCGACAACCAGTCACTGCAAAACATAGTTTAAGTATTTCTCTCCGATAATTTATATAAATGGTCAAGTATCAGTATTTAGGGACTTCATACTCTTCAAATAGTCGTCTCCAGATAATACTAGTTTGTCATAACGTTAGAACTAATTTCCTATTTACATCATTTAGATCATTGAAAAGAATATTTTGTTTATAAATGCATGTTATGGTGAACAGAGCCTTATTTACTTAAGCTAATTGATGTACCAACAAAGATCATTTTCCAAATTCATCTTTCGGCTGTAATATTATTTTACATCTCCTTTTGTTGTCTATCTGTCTGTTAACTTTCTGATACATTCGGTTCCACCTTCTATGATTTTCATATTTCATGTCCAGTCCAATAAGTCCAATAATATTTTGTGTTTCATGCAGAATATAATCGTTTTGTAATTTATACAAATACTAAGCCTCTATGTCTATAGAATATATCTATAGATGACAAAGATGAAAAACAAAAAACTCTTTTAAATGTTAACTAAGATGTGGTCAGTCCGAGGTATATTTGTGATGGTCGGTATAGTCATTTTTTTGGTGTATAACCGCAAAAAAGCAACCTTTATCTGGTTAATAATGTCTTGAAGGAAAGCTTCATATTTTTCCGTAATAAGTAAAACCCCAGACAACTCACTCGGTTTGTTTTTAAGATGACTACATTATAGGAATGTAAATAAATCCTGTTTGTATATTTTGATGAGATTTCATATTACAGTTTTTGCAATAGATTTAAAATTATAGGTGGTAGAGCCTAGCTATGGTTAAGAAACCACAGCTAGAACATGGGCTGGTTCTCATCAGATAGACCATCTTGCTCGGTTGACCCCATAAACAAAAATATCTTTATTATTTTATTAGTCATGGTATAATAGTTATGTATGTTTGTATGTGTGTAGATGTGAAGGTGTCGGTATGTGGGGCGCGTGGGGCGCGCAGGCGGGCTGGTGGTGCGGCGCGCTGGCGGCCGCGCTACTGGCGCTGCTCGCGCTGTGTCGCCGCGCCCGGAAGAGGACCCCGCCGAGACCGCCCGCCACCGTCACACAGGTAGGTTAAACGAAGAAGTTAAACATCAAGGATCTATAAATAAACCATGAAACTGATCGTCAGTCAATATCTTGATAGGGTAATACGTTATAAGATGTAAGACATCAAGTCTGTCCGTGATCACGGTTGCTGAAAAGTAGCCGAAACTTCGGGAGTATGTAGTTTTTTTTTTATAAAAATAAAGTTGCGTAGTATACCTAATATATTAGGTTTAGGTTTAAAGAAGTTTATTTCCAAAAAGAACAAAGTTCGCTTACAAAGGAAATTTTAAAAATTATAACTACAATTAAGATTACAAATAATAAACAGTAGTGATATTAAACAAGATCAGCGAAATCATTTAACATATGGGTTCTTAATCGTTTTTTAAATATATTCAGAGATTTTGTATTGACAACACTCAGAGGCAAAGAGTTATACAGCTGTGCTCCTTCAAATGAAATAATTTTAATGCCGTACTTGGTTCGAGTTTTAGGTGTTTCTAGTTTATATCTGTTCCTTGTGTGGTAAGAATGGGTTTTGGTTTTAAATTTAATTTGAGAATGAGTAAGGTTTTTACTAAAGTATTGTAAATAATGTTTCGTACACTTGGAGGAATACAACGTGCAGATTTAAAGCTCCAGTAAGTGAAGTTATTTTGGAATGTATGGAATCTATATGAGGATTTTCATTATTTGACTGTTTGATAGTTTGATTGTTAAGTATCAATTCATTATGGGAAGGAATAGATAAAAAAATATTAGTTTCATTTACCTTATAATAGGTTTGTCACGAAATGGCTTGTCAACAATAAAGTGATCTTTTTTCTTCCTCGTTTCCATGGACATCGTATCATTGCAGGTGCAGATCGTGTATGGCGGCCCGGCGCGTGTAGTGGCGGCTGGTCCGCCGCCGGGCGCGTCTCGTGCGGTCGCGTCCCTGTCGTCCGCGCCGCCCCCCGACCCGCCGACCCCCGCCGACCCCTCTCAACCCACTCTCCCTCAGATCCTCGTCGTCCAGGACAGCACCCAGAACACTGTCCCCCAACAGAGTGACCCCCAACCCTCGAGCTCACAAGGCCCCAGACCGTTGGAGTATCACGGAATCCCCAAGTTGCCACTTCCTGAGCAGTGGCTCCATAAACGACCTTTCGATTACAAGTACTCCGCTATACCCCGGCCTCTAGCTCAAATCGTGAGTTCGGATCTAACGGTAGATCTGCAGAGAGAGTCGCGGGCTAAGAAATTTAGTGCTACGAGGTCGCCGTCCTTGGAAAAAGACGAGAAGTCCCCCTTCGTTAGCAGTGCTAAGTCTGAAGATATGGAAGTGTTCGGCTTCGACGCTGAATCCGTGAGAAAATTAAGTGAAGATAGAGATAAGCCCGTGGAAATGGCGGAACTTCCGCCGCAGTCTCCACAAGAGAGCGATAAAGAAATGTCGCCCAATAACCTCAGGAGGTTCCGGTCAGTGAGCACCCGCCTTAACATGTGCAGTGTCAGCGAAAGCCCTCATCCCGAAGGTCACCAGGAACGGTTGGAGATGCAGAACTCCCCGCGCGTCGTTGAGTGCAGTTCTGCCAAAGAGAAGTCATCGGGTACTAAATTCGATTTCTCACCAAAGATCCTAGCTGACAGCATGTGCTCCCCGCGGTTCTTCACTCCACCCGAGATGGTTTCACCGATGTTCTTCGCGGAACCCTCACCGAAATCGGTTTACTACGATACCGTGCGATCTCCGAAGTTTTTTCCTGAAACTCCACGAGACGTTGAAGTGCCACAATCGCCGCGACTCTTGGGAGACCATCGGAACAGAACGAACGGCTTAACAGAGAAACCGACCTCACCGAAGGTTTTAAGTGCTCGACCCAGTCCTAAGGTTCATAGCTATAATAAAGAGAATTACTTCACCTTCGAACAACCGAGTGCCACAGAAGAGAGTGCAGCGAGGATGTCGCCCCGACCGAGGAGGTACGGAGGAAGAAATTCCATAGAAAGAGAAAGATTCACGCCCCCCGCTGATAAAGAAGTTAAGAAATACAGAAGACACAACAGTTGTGACACGAGTTACAAGAGTGTAGAGTTAAATATACCCAAGTGTGATAATATATTAGAGACTGATGCCACCAACGTGGTTGTGATAGAAAAAGACGTAGTGGACTGCTGTGCCAAAGTAGATTCATTGCATGTCGATGCAGCACTTGAGAGTGATAAACACGAATTGAAGCCCATATCGAACACGGCGCAGGCGAGACGACAACGATTAAAATCGATATCACTCGACTCCGATAATGCCAAAATAATCGAACAGAACTTAGGTTTACCGATAGCGAAGCAAATGAAAGACCAAATGAACGAGGCTTATAAGAATCAAGAAGTGAGTACGTCGTGCGAGAGTATGGAGAGGTATCCGAAAACACCGACCGCTGAACGACCTATGTTCAAATTTGATGCGGAACATAAAGAAAAACCTGAGCCAGAAGCTAAACCGGAAGTTAAACAGAAAAAGTGCCTTCGTCAAAGTTCTGACACACAGTCATTCCTTGATATGCCCAGGTTTTCTCCCAAAGAATTTGAGATAACGGTTACATCAGAGGAAGGCGCCACTACCGCCGCTGAAACACAGACCAAGAAGAAAGGCAAGAATTTAAGAAACTTAACGATAGATTTATCGAAACGAGACAGCGATTTAGAAAAGGAATTGCTCGAATTTGAAAAACTGTATACGGATGCCGAAGAAAAGAAAGTTAAAACACCAACACTGAAAGTTAAGGCTACTTCATTAGACTCGTCAGAAAGTGTAAACCTCTCACTGCCACCTAAAAAGTCTCTGGAAGTACCGCAGAATTCCATATCAGTTCCAAACACGCCGAAGCGTCAGTTGAAGAGAATTTTGGCTCAGAAAAGTGGAAAACATGACATTGTTGGGAAACTGGGCTACACGACCGTACAGTGTGGCGCAGACCAAAGACGGTTATACATGAAGGGACAAGATAGTGGGATATTTTTAAGAGAGAACCACGCGAGTCTGATGCTGTACCAACCAGGAACATCCCGTATTGGTTCGAGAACAATGGGTTCCTTCGACGAAAATATGGCAGACAATGCACCAGAAATAAATGTTGTTGAAACTAGACCTTTTCATATAGAACCAGGTCAAACACTTGGTTCTAATCTGCTCAACTACAAACAGAATCTAAGCGTGTCCAGCACAAACTTGAAGACTCTTCCCGAAGGAGTTCCGTCTGATGATTTTGAACCCAGCGCAGAAGATGAGAAAGTAGTGAAAAAACTACATCGACGAAATTCTAATCAGAGTTTAATGCTGAGTACACACAGCTTACAAGAGTCCAACTGTTCGCTCAGCAGCGCTGGTACATCTTGCCACAACCTCAATACAGTTAGAACTAGCATATCAAATTTCAGTCTAAATGACAGCAGGCAGAAGAAACTGTCTCTGGAAAGAAGGGATTCTAACGTCAGCATAAACCCAATGGACCATATAACGCCCACAACACGAGTCATATGTTCTTCAAATACCAATTTAACCGGTGACGTGTCGAAGAACTGTTTATTACAACGGCGCGGATCGAATAACAGCTTAACATTAAACATACATTCATCAAATAATTTAAGTCGACATTCTAGTAACAGTTCCTTAAACAAAGATGCTAAAATCGGCCAGAAAAAGGGTCTATTGGAACGCAGGAGCTCAAATACATCTCTCACGCTGAATATAAACTCTTCAAATCCTCAGCTATCTACTAATAGAGGATTAAGTATATCAAACTACAACCTGAACGGGTCGACCTGCAACCTGAGTAGATACAACAGTAACCATAGCATAGACAACGCGGAACCACGGAAAGGTATCCTGGAAAGACGAAGTTCGAACACCTCCCTCACTCTGAACATACCTCAGGAACCTCGAGATTTGGAGATAGATGAGACGATGTTAGACGCGAACCTTAAAGAAATCCCACACAGAGACAAACACAGGAAATCATTAAGCACAGAAAATTTGATACCGAAATCATATAAGAATAGGACACGCCTGCGATCCACTGAAAAGGGTTTCGGCTCACACGATAATCTATGGTCGACGTCCTTCAACGAGCAGGAGTATGGACAGAATTTAACATACGTCTGCGGCGATCAGGAAAATGAGATTATTTACGCGTTCGGTCGTCAAGAAGACCCGAATTTCCAGGCTGGTTTTGTACGGAACATTACCACGAAACCGCTCAGTCCTCAGAGCACTTCTGAAGACTTTAGGTTATACTTAGCTAATATGCAGCACTTACAGAACGCATCGAGCGTTCTAACTCGTCAGCAGCTTAGAGACTTGAACGACGTTTTTCAAAACGGGTACTCCAAAGTTAAATGTCTTAGTACGAACGAGGGTCAACATTGCTGTACGGGCAGAGTTGACGACATCGCTAAAGAAAACCCACAGATGGTGATCCCAGACGTAGCACCACAACCATGTTCCGAATACCAGAAGATGCTATTGAGGAATCTTCATCAAGAATTCTGGGACATGCCGACGAACTTCCAGGAGAAACCCATAGTTTCTGGATCACACCCCAAGAACAGATACAAGACGATCTTACCAAACGAACATTCCAGGTTCATTTTAAGAGCGGACGCCGGCAACACCGAGGGATACATAAACGCCAATTATATTAAGGTTTGTTTCAACTCACTACTTTTGACTACATTAAGTTTTTACATTTTCGTTTACACCCATATATTACATATTTTTTTGACAAAAACATTAGTTTTTGATTTAGTTTACTAAAATAGATATAATCAAATTAGATTTACTGTTATGATTTGTTGTTAACATAAAAATAAAAATAATTCCAGGGCCACGAATACACGAAAAACAGCTACATAGCGACGCAGGGTCCGCTTCAGAACACCATGTACGACTTCTGGCTGATGGTGCGACAAAATAATATGGAACTACAGGCTCGAGCTGATACAATACATAACAGAACAGAGGAAAGATCAGAAGCTATACAGAAGATAGTGATGTTGACCAACTTTATAGAAAATAACAGACAAAAATGTGAAAAATACTTCCCCTTAGAGAAAGGTGAAGAGATCACCATATCAAGTCCGATCTTGAGCGAAACTTGTGCAGAAGAATCACCCAAGAACAGTTTCATCATCAAAAACGTGGGTATGTCTAAAAAATCTGGCTACACAGTTCGCAAGCTAGATGTAAGATATAGCGGGGAAACTGAAAGTTTAACAGTATACCACTACTGGTTTCACAACTGGGCCGATCACAAGTGCCCCAAAGATGTGAACGCATTACTCAACTTGAGTCTGGACGTTTTACGTGAAGATATAAATGATTTCGAGGCTCGTGATGATGAGAAGGACGAACAGTGCAAGTGTATCGACAGCCCCAAGGGTTCAAAGTTCGTGTTTCCACCGATGGAATCAGAAAGTGTTGCATGTCCGGTCAAAGTGTGTGTCTCTACTCCTATGAAGTTTACAAATGAAAGTAACTCCCCGCCTACCATAGTTCATTGCTCAGCTGGCATAGGTCGTACTGGCTGTCTGATAGCCATACTGAACGGCATCAAGCAACTTACCAGCGAGGAAAAGGTGGATGTACTGGGTATTGTGTGTAACATGAGACTCAACCGAGGCGGGATGGTGCAGAACTCTGAGCAGTACGAACTAATACATAAAGTGCTGTGTCTCTTCGAACAGGCCTGTCTGCCTCACTTATAGTCTTATAAACAACGTAGGGTAGCCCTTATATATATCTTTGTTTGTATTGGTTCCTGACTAAATCTAAGCACATAATTATTAATTTATTGTTAATATAAGCAAATTCATAGCAAAAGCTGACAATTATGTTTGTATATTTCAAAGAGATGTATCTATATGTAGGTTTTAATGAATGATATTCTACGCTTCTCCTATTAATGTAGCTTAAGAGATTTTCTATGGACATATTTGTGACTTGAAGTATTGGCGACACCGATTAACTATTTTATATGATATTTACAAATAACATATTTAATTTAGTACATTGATGTTTGTATAGAGTTATTTTCATGCCGTTCCGTTTCTCATGTACCGGTGACTAGTGTGCAGGCATCGAGTGAATGTTGAGCACAATTTTGTATGTTTCTACTATATAACATGGGATTCATTTATATATAACATTATTTATTTACCTTCTAGTACATAAGTTTTAGTCATCTTGATATAAAGTGATGTACATATGAGTGTTTTGAATTATTATTATTATTTTTTATTTTATTTTAAATATTCTATGCGGAGAAATATATAGTACAAAATAGTTTTAGTCTACATTTTATTTTTTCTCCTTTTTTTATATACATATATATCGGGTTTTTGATTTTTCATACGACACGCATTTTCAAAACGGACTGATTATATAAATATTGAGACATTTAAATTTATAGAATAAAAAGTATTTTTGAATCAAATTATTTTCTCATACAAATTATTTTTGTTGAATAACTATTTTATTATCATCCAAGAGTAACGCTAAGTAATATATTTTAACATAAAAATAAGTAAACACAGATGCAATATTGAACCGGTAATGATTAAACATTAAGCAAATAGTCTCGAGTCAATAAGATCATTATTTATATATAATTTAAATTTATAATGAACAAAAAACATTTAAATCGTCATCATAATAGTTTTAAAACAAATTGTCGCGTACTAATAGTTACATTAAGTAAAAACTTTGACGTACATTACGTTACCTAGGAATAAAGCTTAAAGTATTATCTATTTTCTGTGTTTTCAAAAACCTTAAAATCAAAACAACTACATAGTTTATATTATATAATATTCTTATAAATATTTTTCGTGACAAATAATTTATCACCTATTTTTTTTTTTTCTAAAAAAACAACGCATCAGATTCTAACAGATTCGGCGTGACGAATTTGTTATTTACGAGTAACATTTAAATTATAGCCATAATTATATTGACGGGGAAAACCAATAACAGATGTGACAAGTGCGGACAGTTATAATATTTTTATATTAACTTTTAATTAAAGTTAGATTAATGGCTGTTCATAATGAACCGTGCGTCGAAGCCAAGGACGCGATTTATTATTTTGTGATGAATCGTAAGCTTTCGTGCGATTTAAACATTAGGAAAATTTATTTAGACATTTCATTGAAATTTTATTTGTTTTACTATCTTTTACTTTTACTTACTTTTACTTTTTATAGCTATCATTACTTATTTTTTTGCTGCAGAAGAGTTTTACCAAGCTTTTTGCTATATTTATGGCTGTAGTGAAAATTATTTTAGATAAACGAAAATTAATAATAGATTTAATGAAATAGTTAAAATATTTAGAACACACTTCGCCTACCTCTGACCCAACATTATAGACAACAATTATTACGTATTTTGGATGTTCTTTCTACTAACACTTTTTAAGTTTTCATTTACTAAAATTGTAATTAAATTTGAGTGTATTTTGTGGGAAATTATGTACGAAAGGTTGACAAAATATAATAATTATATAGCACGTACTTATTAAGATACTAATTATTAAAATGTATGTCTTATTTATGAATAGTATGATAAGACTTTAGATATATCTAAATTATTTATAATATAGTGTAGCGGCATATCTATTCTAGAAAAAAATATATAAAAATTATGTTTAACATTTTGTATATGAACGTAACCTTTGTGTTGTAATAATTTTGTATATATTCAATGTAACATTATATCAAGTAATATAAATGTTTAATATTTCTTAATATTTAATATTTCAGATTGGTCTACAATGTTATACATAATTAAATATTAATATTATATATTGTAAGGTGAATCTGTAGTAGAATAGTTGTAATTAATAACTTCGCTTTTATTTTGCGTCCTCTCACTCACCGCTATCGAGAATTTGGAAAAAACAAACCGTTTTTATATATTTCTATTTAAACATTATTTTTTAAACGTCACTTTTAAAATGACAGTTATCAAATTGATAAATAAGGGAGGGAACGCAAAATAAAAGCCGCTGTAAGAAAAGAACACCAAATACTTAGATGTAATTCGTTAATGTTTTCTAACTGTATTGTATAGATGTTGTATATTTTATTTGTATAATTGTATAATTCTTTACACATACAGATATAACACAAATTAATTTCATTTTGGCGCCATTTTTCTAAAGATGATTGTCATTTTAGTCTGTCAAAAGTCAAATGTTATTGTAAAATGCTTATAGCGTCATGATCGATCTTAATTAGAAACAAATAATCATTTTATATATATATATATAGGTAACTGGTAAGTACAGTACAAAGTTTCTTCCAGGTAACACATATATACTAACACGTATGGACAGTAAGTAACATAATATTTGCAGAGCAAACACTTGTATAAGTACTTCACAAACATGTACGAGGATATATTTTATACTCGCTTCATTGAAACTAATGTCGTTTATTTATACATTTTTATTGCGATTTAGCAAATTAAATTGTGTTTAGAAGATTTTATTTGTGTTAACGCAAGATGGTCATTGGTCTCAAGAAATCCGTATATATCTATTCGTGTTATTATAGAATCCCTACTAATATTATAAATGCAAAAGTAACTCTGTCTGTCTGTCTGTTACACTTTCACGCCTAAACCACTGAACTGATTTCAATGAAATTTGGTACAGAGATATAGTCGACCTTGAGAAAGAACATAGGATAGTTTTTATCCCAGACTTCTGAAAGGTTCTCTTGGAAACACGATATAACACGAACTCGACGCAGGCGAAGCTGCGGGCGGAAAGCTAGTATTGTATAATTTAATTTATTATTTAACAAATTAATACTTATATAGGTATTCGTGAAAGAATTTTATTTATCCTGTATCAATGTTTTCCTTTTACTAATTTCTCCTACTTAAAACCTAGTAAGTATGTTAATGAAGCCATTACGGCAGAATACGTATTTATTTAGTAGTTATTATTATACACAATAAACAAGAAATAGAACAGTCGTGGTGGCTTAAGTGGTTAAAGGCCCGCCTCTCATACATGAGAGCGCGGGTTCGAAACCTTGCAAGTACCAATGTGATTGTTCCGAGTCATATGTACTTAAGAGTATTTAGACATCACTGACTGATGAAGGAAAACATCGTGAGGAAACATTGACTTGTATCAAATTATAAGTTTGAAATCACCAATCCTTCTTGAGCAAGCGTGGTAATGTAATTAATGCTCAAACCTTCTCCATGTGAGAAGAGGTCTTTGCTTTGATGATGATGGAACAAGTAACTTATTAATAGCCTAAATAATATTCTTATTGGTCATGTGACCACTCAATCGTCATCTTTTATTTATTTTCCTTCCGTTTATTTATTTTAAGTGTATATATATGTTACAGTAAACAATGAATCCTTATTTGTGTCAAAACGACATATTTTCGTAAATCTTCGTAGATTCGCTAACTAACAATATATTACTGACGTCGTTTGTTATAAAAATGTGTTAAAATATCTGTATGTGTGAAATAAATATGAGTAAGTACCTATGTGTTACTGTGGATATTGTTTAATAATATTATTATATTATTTCAATTTTGATTAAAAGATGTATCGAAATAAAATTGCTGGCATTTTAATCTTCACTTTTTACGCAATAAATTAACAGGTATTTTATAAGAAACTCGAATTATACTAAAGAATAAAAAAAATCAAAACACACAAAATATAAATAAATAAAGATAGAAAAAAGACAAGTGTGTAATGTAAGGTAAAAAGTTTGTATGCTTATTTTGTTCTTTTTTATTTGTAGTGTTTGCTGAATTAGGAAAACAAAATGTCGATGAACTTCAATTAAATAATGTCTAGATATAGTCACAAAAATATTTATACATTTAGTATTCTAACAAAATCATTAAAAAACATAGTTGTCATATAAAGCCAGAACTTTTAAATAACATATCAAACCTTAACTAGAACAAACTTATTATTATCTTAAACCAAAACACATTAAATAAGTTAAATTCAATTAACAAACACAAGTCGCGTCGACAAATACTGTCCCGCGTAAAAGTTAACAAAGCAAACGTCACTTTAACGTCACTTCGGGTGCGTTCGGGAGTTTAAAGGTTCTGTTCAAATTAAATGTGTTATCCCTATATATACATATAATAAATATAAACAGACTTGTATAGTTGAAATATTTTCTGATCTCCTTGTATAGAATCTTCTGCCTACATCTGTAGTGCTTCATCATCAGTCAACCTCAAGTTACGCGTCGTTTTTTCCTTTCCTCACGTGTCTTTTGTAAACACACTACACGTGACTGCCTCTCCGCGTCCGAGTCTATTTACTTCCAAATTCATCTATCCGTATGAGTTCAACAAACATTACCTCACGCCACTCGTATATTTCTGTTTTTCTATAAGTTTATTTAGTTATATTTAATACTCATATTATTTGTGACGATGATTCAGTTATATTTTATGAACACGTTATGTTTTGTATCTCGTATGAACGCTCCTAACACTTGCCCAGTGTAAACAAGACCTTCGTTCTAGTGATTTAAATTAATTAAACTTTAAAGGTTAACAAACGAATTTTAATAGGATGAATGCACTTGAAAGAAGATAACTTTTTAATTGGAATAATTATGAAATGGATGTTTCCGTATTTTTAGTCAATAATGTTAGTAAGTTTTGACCGCGACTTGGTTTTGCATAAATCTTGTCATTAGACT